GAGCTTTCAGTGCTGTTTTGTGTTCTCATGTATACAAGTAGGATGGTCATAGACGCACTGTGTTGCACAATGGAGCACCTCCAGGAGTGCTAGCATTATAGACCACAGCTATCATTTGCTCAGCATTTGTTTCTGGGGAGGGATCCCATCGTTTCCTGTATCCTAGAGATTCACTCTACCCTCTAAGCTTATTTCACAGTCCTAGCATCTTTTCTTTAAAAATGTTTATATATTTAGTGTGTGTGTTTGTACACCCACATGCTTAGAGGTTACTGTACAGCTTACAGCGGTTTTCTCATTATGTTGGTCTAAGGATGGAATTCAGGCCTTTACCAGTTGAGCAATCCTTCTTAATGACAAGCCCACACTTTTTCTCCTAGGAGACTCATTGGTGAGATCAGACCTTAGGTCCAACACCACCAGGCCCCAAGATCTCTGACCCTCAGGGTCAAATCTATTGCTGACCTCCAACCAGTTGGATCTCTGCCACTGAGGAGAATTCCTCAAGTCTCCCACTTTACTTTCTCTAATTCTTGAGGTAAGTCAGACACAAATGGTTTATCTGTTGTCCTATGCCTGCACTGCCCCTTTTCCAGATACCTGCAGTATATTAAGAATACAGGTGTCCGAGATGGGATGGTAAGATGTTACAGCTCCAGGACACGGTCTAAAGGGGATCTGGATGGAAGATGCTTAACAGCAACTCCACCTAAGAGGGGCTTCATCCATGCCAGGCAGGCTCAGGCAGATCCCAGGTAGGATCAAGTGTCAGATGAGGACAAAAAGCATGTGATGTAGGCTTGTAATCCCAATACTCTGGGGATCCAAGATTGAATTCAACCTGGGAAACAAAGGGCACTCCAGGACTAGTCTGGACTGTCAACAACAGTAACAAAAGTGAGAGCCATAGGAAGACTCTTTATTGGCACTTTTGATGAAAAGTAACCCAGGAAGAATTAGGCAAGTTAGCATTGGCAAATTGTAATAATTTTGATGGGCTTCTAGTGAAGAAATGGTTGCCTGTTACTTGTTTTTCATGACTCAGTGAAGGCAAAATACACATTTGAGAGTGAGTGGGAATTTTTTTGTGACCAGAGCCTCAGCTAGTTTACTTTGTGAATGAAAGATATCCTCCTGAAATATGTACTGTCTTTTCACATAGTCAGCTACTGCAGGGGGTGGGGTAGTCCCCTGAAATCTTCAAGCTTTGGGTGATGTCAAACATAAGTTACATCTTGGCTAGCCTGAGCCATAAAGTGAGACTCTGTCCCAACAAATGTAAGTGGATATAGGAGATATGTCCTTTATTGAAATATTTTTACATTTATTTAGTGTTGGGGGTTGCACATGTGCTGTGGCATGCCTATGGTGGAGAGCACAGGACAACTTGAGGACATTAGTTCTCTCCTTCCGGTACGTTGGTCACAGGAATCAAACTCACATACTGAGGCTTGGCAGCAAACACCTTTTCCTACTGAGCCATTTCACTGGAATGCCCATGTATCCTTCAGTAAAGTTCTTCCAAGCATAAAGACCTGAGATAGATGGCCAGACCTCATGTGAAACTGTCAGGCATGGTGACGTGGGCTTGTTAATCTTAGATCTGGGTTGGTGGAGTCAGGCAGGTCCCTGTGTCTTTCCAGCCTGCTAGTCTAGCCTTCTTGGCATGTTACTGGCCAGTGAAAGTCACTGTCTCTAAAATTTCAATGGCATCTGACTAATAATGCCTAAAGTTCTCTGGCATGCACATGCACACACATGTACATGCCTCCATCACATACATGTACCAACATACACTTTCTCTCTCTCTTTCTCTCTCCTTTCACACACACACACACTCACACACACACACACACACACACACACACACACACACACACACACCAGTGCTAGGCATGATGATACATCCCAGTAATATCAGTTCTCCTGAGGTTGGTGCAGTGGGATCAGTAATTCAAAGTCAGTTATATAGCCAGTTTGGGGCCAGTCAGGACTTCATGATACCCTTTCTCAAAAAAAGTCTTCCCTCAGAAGAGAAATAATCAGGCCATAGCCTACTTATAGCCAGGAGTGATGTGTATAGCAAGAAATGAAAGGGAGCAATTCTCTTAGATGGGTAAAATAGCAGCAGGAGCTTATAGAAGTCACTCAGTTCTGTCTTGCTTTAGTAGCACTGCTTTCTAACGACAGTGCAAGCACCTTGAAGTGGTTGCAGCTGGGACAGTGTTTCAGCAGTGTCCTGCCATCTAAGCAAGCTCTCAATTCAGTGAGAGAATAAATTCTTTAAAAGTATGATGTATGAAGGTAACAGAAGTTAAACTCTGACCTCCTCATGTACAAATATATGTGAGTCCACCTGAATGCACACATGCACATACACAATATGGGAGCTATTGAGGAAGACATCCAAAGTCAGCAGTTGGCTTCCCAAATGTTTATGCACCTGCAAGTATTCCACACACACATGGATGTGTACACACATACTACACAAATATGATAGCAATTGAAGAAAAACAAAACCCTGATGCTGACCTCTGGCATACACCAGTATACACACACACACACACACACACACACACACACACACACACACACGAAAAAAATTTGTCTACTCAGATTGCTAAGATGGTCTGAATGAAGGGATACCCAACTGTAAAATGAAATTAGAAGTCAGTGTCTCTTGATATTCCTGGGCCTTTCTCTCTCTTCTGTCATTTAAATTCACAAGTCTCGAACCTGCAGATTGAGGTGGACATTATTGAGTTTAAGCCCAGTTTACAGAACAAGACCCTGTCTCTAAAAACAAATACCAACCTCCCTTTACTGATTAAAAAACCCCAACAGAGAGGAAAGAGAGAGGGAGGGAGAAATAGAAGGAGAGACAGAGCTAGCTTCTGTGACTTCAAAGGGAAGCATTTTGAAATACAAAGTTAGGTTGAATAGCAACAGTGTAGACAGTGTAGACAGTTCCTCAGTATTTGGATTTAGTCCTTTGAAAGGCATTTGGAAAAGGCAAACAAAGTACTGAGCCAATGGATGTCAGTTCTATTCTCTCAACTCTGTTCTTTGAGACAGGGTCTCACTATCTATCCTTGGCTGAACTGGATTACAGACATGCACCATCACACTTAAAAAAAAAAAATATATATATATATATATATATATGCACACACACACACACACACACACACACACATATATATATATATATATTCCATTTTTTAGACAGGATCTCACTCTATGTAGTCCAGACTGGCTGAATTCATGGTAATCCTGCCTCAGGATTACAGACATGAGCTACCTCCCCTTTTGCAAATCTCTTAATGTTAAAAAGGTCTACATTGCTGGGTGATGGTGGTGCTCACCTTTAATCCCAGCATCTTTAATCCCAGGGAGGGGCAGATGATATCTGTGAGTTCAAGACCAACCTGGTCTACAAGAGCTAGTTCCAGAACAGGCTCCTCTGTCTTGAAAAAAACCATAAATAAATAAGGGGGGGGGATGGTGAAATTCTAATACCATTCTTTGGAAAGAAGAAAGTTGTGCTAATCTTGACAGGAGATGCTGAAATCTGAGCAACTGGGATTCACTTTCTTCCCTTTTATTTCCTCAAAGTGCTTCAGCTTTTTGTTCCAAATGCACAATAGAAATTTTATAGCCAACTTACAGGGGCAATAATAAAACTACTGGATACAGTAGTCAGGAGGGTTAGTGTTAGGGTGGGGTTAGCAGAGCTGGCTGTGGCTGGAACACATAACAGAAAGGAAATGTGAAATTTGAGTTTTGATTTTTTTTTTTTTTTTTTTTTTTTTTTTTTTTTTTGAGACAGGCTTTTTCTGTGGCTTTGAAGCCTGTCTTGGAACTAGCTCTTGTAGACCAGACTGATCTCGAACTCATATGACTGCCTCTTCCACCCGAATGCTGGATTAAAGGTCTGCACCACCAACAAGTTTTATTGTTTTGAGACTGGTTATCACTATGTAGCCCAGGCTGCCTTCAAACTTGTGATCTTCTTGCTTCAGACTCCCAAGTACTGGGAATCATGGGACTTAAAAGCCCAAACTGAGTTTAGTCTCTTCTCTGGCCCAAGGAAGGCTCTGAAGAGGCGAAATGATATGCTTTGATCTGTATTTTAAAAACAAAACAACAAAAATTGTCCGTAATAGTAAAGTGAAAGAGTGAAGTGAAAGCAGAGTGGAGTGTTGGCGGGGCCAGTTAGACCAGGCTGAGTGAGAAAGGACGAAAGGGGTTGGTTAGTCAGGACCACAGCTCCCTGGGTCAATAGAGTGGAATGAATTGGTGGTGTCAGGGGTGAAAAACTCGGGTCCTAAATGGACGCCTAAGGCAGGGGCTGTAGATTAGGGGATGCAAGGAAGTACTACTATTCTTGTCCAGCCTCGAGATTCAGGAAGTGACAATAAGTACGACTGTAGCACTGGGGCGCAAAAGCCCACTCAGTTGCCCCAAACACTGCAGCATTAAGGTTTAAAGTGAAAAGTCGATGGGGTGCAAGAGCTACCCCTTTGCTTAACCGGGCTCCGTAGGGTGAACAGCGGAGCCATCCTCACGGTGATGGCCCGTGGGCCTAAAAGCCTGAGGTCGCAAAGCCCAGGGTCCCCGCTGCAGAAGAGCCAAACACAGAAGGGCAATCAGCCTCCAGGGATAGGAAGCTCAGGTGTACTGGCTTTAGGGCTCCAAGGGGGCAGCTCCGGGAACTCCGGACGGAAGCGGCCCCTCCCCGTCCCCGCTGCCAGTCGCCCAACCAATCAGCGAGCCCCGCCAATCAGCGCGTCGGGCCAATCGGTGTGTTTTCTCCAGCGGCACCCGGCGCTTAGCTGACGCGAGAGGCCAGCCCGCGCCCCGCCGCCCTTGGGCGACGGCCCCTCCCGCGCTTGCCGGGCCCGTTAGCTGAGCACCGCGCCTCTTGCGCGACGGCCCCTGGGCGGCGGAGGCCGTGGCGGCGGCGCGTGCGGGCGCGGCCCTGGCGCGCCCCCTGGCGGCCCGGCCGGCGAGCTGCGGGTGCGGCGCTGACCCGGAGGCGGCGGCGGCGGTGCCCGGATGGAGGCACGTCATTGTCCCCCGCCGGGCGGCTGGGCTGTGTGCGGCGGCAGCGGCGGCGGCGGCCGAGGGGGATGGAGCGAGTGCCGAGCCGGGTCAGGTAAGCTCCCGCCTCCTTCCCGCCCGCTGCAGGCTGGCGTGGGGCCCGGCCGCGTGTCCTGGCTTTGCGGCCTCAGCCGCCCCGCCACCTTCAGCCGGCCGCGGCCCGCCGGGACTGGCGCGGCCCCTCGCCCGCCGCCCCCTCTACAGCCGCCGGGCGGCCCGAGGACCCCACGGCTGCGGGGCTCGCGTTGCTGCCGCCCGGCCGAGCCAGGCCCGCAGGACAGGAGGCGGCGGCCACGGCGGGCGGGAGGGCTCGCAGCGAAGGCAGCGCTGGGGCTGCACGGGGAGGGCCGGACCCCCCTGGTTGCCATGGCCACCGCGCTCCCACCCCCACCGGCCCCAGCCCGCCCCCTCGGCCCACTGGCCGGGCCGAGCTGCAGCCGGCTGCTCCCGGGCCGCCGCGGGTTTGGAGCTGCCGGGGTGGGCGTGTGCACGCCGGGACACTGTAGCCGGCGTCCGGGGCCCGCCCGCCGCCCCCCGCGTGACTGCCACCTCCGGCCCCAGGGCGGCCCTGGGAGCTCGGGCTGGCCTCCCCACCCCCACCCCGCCCCCACCCCAGACAAACTTTCCCACCCGGGCGCGGTCCACTCGGCTTCTCCGCAGAACGCCGGAGTTGCCCACGCCGGAGCGGGCACCAAAGGAGAGGCGGGCGGCCGGGGGTGTTGGGGGGAGGAGCCCCGCAGCTCATTCCCCTCCGAAAAAAGCAAGTGTGCCTTCCTCCCTCATGTTCTTTATCTTTGGGGCAGGAAGAACTAACTTACCTGGGGGGAAAAGGCGGGTGGGAGGGATCGGATTCAGATGTTTGAAATGAAAATTTGACGAGACCTAAGTTTTACAATCTAGGACTTTAACCTCCCCAGAATAAATACAGTTGACATTACTTTTGTTGAATAGCTCTTTTATATTTGAAGGCCTTAGGACTTGCTTGTTTGTGCTTCTTTCAAGTAAACACACTCAAGTAACAGAAAGTGTTGAGAAACTAGTTAACGCCCCTTTTACAAAGTAACAACCGGATTTAGGTTCTCATAGTTGTTTATGGAGGATAACGTTTCTTCAAAGTGTTCATTTTAAACATTTGCTTTTACTCTGTCACTCATTCAGGTGCATTAGGTCTGTGAATAATCAGTTACACTTGTTTTTACTTAGGGACAGTTTCACTTTCTTTTCTGTAGTCATTGAATCAAGACTACAGTAAGTATTTGGTTTGCAAAGGTTGAAGGCTAATCATTCTGTTTACTTAAATACAATTCAAATGCTATCTTTTTAAATTTTCTTAAAATGGAAAGTTACAACTTGAAGTCATGTATAAGTTTTTGTGTGTTGTTGACTTTATTCCTTCATGTGACACAATTTAGTGACACATGTGACACATGTTTAGTGATACTTATTTTAAAATAAAAAAGATTAACATAGCCTGCACCAACTCCTCATAAAAGAGACATTACAAGTAAAGGTTCTTAGTCCTGCACATTTACCCAACTTTGTTTCCCTGTTCAGGTTGCTAGTCTTTTTAAATGGTCTCTTGTAACTTTGTATTACCATGAGAAGGTGTTAGGGGAAAGGCTCAACTTTCATTGAAGTAGTTACTTTCACAGTCCTATTTTGAGCACTAGCTTTCCTTAGAGTAAAGAGCAGGAGCCACATGAGTCCTGTCTCATTGGGTTTAAAGAAAGGCTATCTCTATAATAGGCAGAGTTTAGTTTGATACCCGATAGTTTTAGGGCACGATTTCATTGACTGAATATCCAAATGAAGATGATGAATGGATTTGGTTAGTCTTGCCAGAATAAAACAGTAATATATTTATTGACGACTAGAATTGTTTTCCTTAATATTTTTCTTTTAAGCCTACTTCCCCACCTTTCTTAGAATAATATTTTATTTGGTTGTTTATTAATCATTGTCTGAGAAGGTTGCTTTGCTTATCCTAGGAAAACCAAGGGTTTTACTGTTACTTATGTTTCTACCCAATTTTGGCTTTCTTCCTTTATCTCTCCTGTTCCTTCTTTTCCTTTATTTCATCAATACACTTTTTATTTTTTTATTTTTATTTATTTTTTTTTGTCTCTAGGAAGAAAAAGGTGTAGACTTTATTTGGAGACTAGGCTCAGTCTTTCTTGTGAATGAAGATCATTTATCTTTAACTGATTAAATATTCAAATCAGATATAATTGACTTTGTTTTTATGTAACTGTCCCTACATTGTTACAGTTATACTTCATTTTAATTAAAAATTGTAAACAAGAACATGGAAGCTTTTAAGAAACATCCTTATTGTGAACAGCAAGCACATGGTAACACTGTTCACTGAGGTGGCAAGTACATGAGTATTTTTTTTTTAGACAGTAGTTAGTTTTTAAAGGCCAAATTTTAGAAGTACTTCCTTAGTTCAGAGTTTTTAACAGGGTGAGATACCTTGTAAATCACTCAGCACAAGCTGGTGCTAAAAGCAAATATTAGTTACTTCCTGTTTGATGATTTCATTCATTCGTTGAACTCATGTTTGGAAAGCTTTCCTTGTGCCAGGTAGGGTGGAGTAAGTTTTTAATGCATGCTACCATACAGATCAGCACAAGGAGTTTTTAGGATGGGTTTCTGACCCAATCTTGGGGTGAAAGTGTTGTCAAGGAAGCCTTATAGGATGGGTTTCTAATCCAGTCTTGGAATGAAAGGAATTGTCAGGGAAAGCATCCCAGAGAAGTGAATTCTAAACCTGAGAATTGAAAGTGTTAACTGGCTGGAGGTAGAAAGATGGAAAATAATAGCTTTCAGGAGCTCAGAGAACAGGAACTAGAAATGGACCCTTAGTGGGAGCATAATATGGGGAGTGTTCCAGAGACAAAGTGTGCCAAGTTCAGATACTGGGAAGAACCGTAGGGAGGTCAGTGGGACACTCCTCAAAGGTTTCCTTCAGGGTGTGACACGTAGTTTTGACTGCCAGCACCATTCCTAAAAGCACAGACTAGGTGGTATAGTGGCTAGACAACTGCCCGGCTGGGGGTTTCTTGACCCTGGCTCTCAGCCCCAGTAACTGACTACTTTGAGTTGCTATTATTGCTTCGTTCTATAATCCTTGCAAGTTAATACATATTCAGCAATTAATATGATGCCCATCCAGCACATCAAAAAAAGCTCAATTAGTGGATTTGAAAATGAGAGTGAGAATTAAATACACATTTGTGTTCAAAGTTTGATGTTAGTAAAATTAAAGGTTTCATTTTAAAAGTTATAATCCATATACATGAATTCCTCCTGGAAAATACGTTTCACTGATAAGACTTTTCTATAACTATAATTTTTCAAAACTTCAAATTTTATACAGTTGTTTTAAGATTTTGAGTTAAGAGAATATTTAACTTTGAATTTTAATGTAATTGAGATTTTTTTTTCCCTCTGAGAAATGGTATATGAATTGAAAATAGTTACATATATTAAAGCATAGAATATTCTTAGCTTTAAGCAATAGACATGGAAAAAATTCCTCATTAATTATATATGGTTTTGAGTTGAGGTGCCTAATTATAAATTGAAAGAAGATTTGGGGGGGATATGGTATAGGATACAGGTTTTTGTTGCTGCTGCTGCTGCTTTTGAGACGCTGCTGCTACTGCTGGTGCTTATATTTGGGTGATTTGTTTGAAGACAGTTTTAAATGGCTAGACACAAATTTCCAAGATAGAGTGGCTGGCTAACTAGACTGTTCTGCTCACCCATTGAAACAAACATACTTTTTGTCTTTTGCAGGGTTGAAAAATGACCATAGTTGACAAAACTGAACCTTCAGACCCATCAACCTGTCAGAACCAGCCTGGCAGTTCTGAGGCGGTCTCACCTGAAGACATGGACACAGGCTCTGCCAGCTGGGGTGCCGTGTCTTCAATAACTGATGTTTCAAATCATACACTTTCATTAGGGCCAGTGCCTGGTGCTGTAGTTTATTCTAATTCATCTGTACCTGATAAGTCAAAACCATCACCACCAAAGGATCAAGGTATGATTGCAGAATTACTGCTAGGAACTCTTGTGCAGAAGGGCAGTGTTTTTCAAGACTAGCTTTATTGCATTTCCTCTAATGAGCATTCATTCTTCCTTCCACCCACCCACACCCCACTATTAGCAAGTGTCACAAGTAGGGGGTAGATTGATTTTCAGTTATTAGGGTTATTAGGATATGAATAATGTTTTAAAAATTCCCAATTTATTGAAGGAAAAACTTTATATTGGCCTCAAACTCATTATGTAGCCAAAGCTGGCTTTATTCTTTTGTCTTCCTGATTCTATTGTCTCTACCTCTTGAGTGCTGGGATGACAGGCAGGGCTAGGGAGCAAATGCAGAACCTTATGTACTTTGTAGAGAAGCATTCTGTTAATTGAGCTACATACCCAGACCCTTCTTATGAGAAAGTATGGGAAAATATAAAGGTAGAATTCTAATGAGCTCTCATAGAGCCATCAGCCAACTTTGACATTTATCAGTTCATAGCTACTTAGTTATACCTCCACCCACTAACCCCTTCCCCCAGGTGTTTATATGTAAGCATGTGTGCCTAGGGTGTTGTATGTAATAGGCGCACACACCCTCTCATCTTTCCCTGGTATTTTAGACAAGTCTAATACTTCACATTGCTTATTGTCTATAAGCATTTTAGTATGTACATCTTAGAGAATTCTTGCATAAAAATAAAGAATGTCTGGGACTGGAGAGATGGTTCAGCATTTAAATGTGCAGACACTTCTTGTACAGGAACTGGGTTCACCTCCTACTACCTCTATCAAGTGAGTCACCACTTGTATCTTCAAGTCCAGGGGGTCTTACACCCTCTTGTGGCCTTCATGGTTACCAGTTCTTGTGTGCATATGTGGGAACACACACCCAAATACAGAAAAATCCAGTCAGTGTTTTTTGAATTAGTTTAAATGAAGTCTACACATTAAGGGGAGTTAATCTCACTGCAGACTCTGGACTTTGGTGTGGCTTTCTCCCTGGTGTTTGTGGCAGGCTGGTAGTAAGGTATCAGATTCAGGCATTGCTGTGTGTTTTGCTTGTGAAGTGTACAAAGCTTTTGTTTGTTTGTTTGTTTGTTTTTAATTTTTGCTTTGTTTTTTAGTCCTAGGTGATGGCATTGCTCCTCCTCAAAAGGTTCTGTTTCCATCTGAAAAGATTTGTCTTAAGTGGCAACAAAGTCATCGAGTTGGCGCTGGGCTCCAGAATTTGGGCAATACCTGTTTTGCCAATGCTGCATTGCAGTGTTTGACCTACACACCACCCCTCGCCAATTACATGTTGTCCCATGAACACTCCAAGACATGTGAGTGCTGTGTGCTCTTGTGTGCATGTTTTCAGTGCAGTGGTTTGCTTCCCTACTGCTGTCTTCCTCTGAAACGAAGTATTTAGTGAAATTACATGACCATGGACATGGTATTTAGCTCGGTGGTAGTGTGCTCACTTAGCATACACAGGCCCTTGGTTTAATCCTCAACCTGCAATAAAAAAAAAACAAAAACAAAAACAAAACAAGAAACCAAGTTAAATGATGACTGGGAAGTTGGTTTGCTGGTGTAGAAACCAAGGTGGGATGGAGTGGGGGGACTCAGGGTTGGTGTTTGGGTGCATAAGGAGCTTTTCATACCTAATTTCATCTGTAAGTATTTAAAATGAAGCTTATTTTGTCAGCATTTGACATTTCAAAACCTAGTTTTTTTTGGGGGGGGGAATGCCTCACTGTGTAGCTCTACCAGCCTTAAAGTCACGGCAAATATCCTCAACTTCCAAAGTGCTGAGGTTAGAGGTGTGAGCTGGCATTCCTGGTTTTTTTTTTAGATTTCTTTTAACTCAGTAGAATCCCAGCTCATTGTTGACTAGTAAAATTTGGATTTAAGTCATTCAGTTTGGGGGACTGCTGTCCCCATCCCTCTCTACAGCTTTTCTGAGGTGTGATTGATAAACAGTTGACCACATACTTCAAATTCATGAGTTAACACATGTGGACACTTGTGTGCACCTCTGAGATTATGACCACAGTTGGACTCATCATATCTAACAGTTTCCTAGTGCCACCCTCCCTCTTTGCTGTCACTACTTCCCTGATGCTCCCAATCACCTCCTCTACCCTAGACAAGTCCTGATACGCCTCCTCCACAACAGATTAGCTTGGTTTTTCTCAGGATATGGAGGTACAAAGTATGTATTTCATTTTGCCTGACTTGGCATAATTAATTCAACATTATTCTGTTCGTTGCATGTATCAGTGGTTTTTATTGCTGAATAGTATTCCACACATGAGCATACCACTCTTTGATTGGCTGTTAACCTGTTTTGAACCATCACGAATTGTACTGCTATACACTTGGGAGGTGGAGACAGAAGGATCAGGAGTTCAAAGTCATCCTCGAGTGAGTCCCAGACCAGTCTGGCCTAATTAAAAAAAAAAAATTAAGCTGTTGTAAATATTTGCCAGTCTTTTCGAAACAAATATTTTATTTCTCTTGGGTAAGAATGAAATCGCTGTGCTTCAGAACTGTTTCTAAAGGGATTTGGGGATGTTAGACTGAGAATTGTGTTTTCTCCATCAGGTGTCTTTTTATCTCAGTGTCTTTTGGAAAGTTTATTTTTTATAGTCAGAATTTGTATTTCATTAATTTTTATTTTTTATCACTTATATCTAAAATGTTAAGAAATCTTGAGCTGGAAAGATGACTCAGAAGGTCAGGTTTCTTGCCACCAGGCTTAACAGCCTGAATTTAATACCTGGGACTCCTGTTGTTGGAAGGAAAGAACCAGCTCCACCAGTTGTCCTCTGCCCTCCACACACTGGCATGTGCATACAAACACATACATACAATGAATAAAATGTCAAGGTCTGAGGTCAGAGGTATTTTTACTGTTTTCTTTTAGACATTTCCTAGTTTGTATTTGGGCCAGTTATCTCTTAGTTAATTTTTGTTTGTGATATGAAGATTTTTTTTTTTTTTCTTTCAGTGCTGGTGATTGAACTCAGGGCCTCACACATGCTAAGCAAGTACTTGCCACTGTGCTGCACAGGTCCCTGCTATTGTAGTTGTTCACACTGTGCTCAGAGAGTAGCCGCTTCCACTGAAACATCTAGCACCTTTGTCTTGTGTTTCTGCTTAATAGATATCTGACTTTGGGCACATTTCTTCTCTTATCCTTAGTCAGTGTGTATACTTATCACATTTTGCTCATTTGGATTCTGATTATCTTGCAGGCCATGCAGAAGGATTTTGTATGATGTGCATAATGCAAACACACATTACCCAGGCACTCGGCAACCCTGGGGATGTTATCAAGCCGATGTTCGTCATCAATGAAATGCGGCGTAAGTTTCAGCTGTAGTAGCTTATGTCCATGTTCCATGTGTAGTTATTTGTTATCATCCATATCTCTTTTTTTTTTTTTTTTGTACTTTGAGATAGGGCCTCACACTGTAGCCTAGGCTAGCCCAGACTCATGGCGTTCTTCTTGCATCATCCTTCCAAGTGCTGAAATTGCAGGTGTGCAACACCATTCAGGGCTTGTATGCAGTTTCTTACACACACCATGCTTTTTGAGAGGGTCTCCTGTGTCCCAGCCTGGCCTTGAACTTGCAGTGTACCAGGGATGTCTCTGAACTCCTGATTTCTACATCTCAAGTACTAAAGCATATGTATGTGACATCACACCCAGCTTATCAATGTGCTTTTTGAACTATACATTTTTGTCATTTTAATTAGACAAATTGTCATAAAAATAAATACAAAACTCAGGATATGGCTATGAGTAACAAGCTATAGTCCTTTTGCCTAAAAAGCTGTTTAGAGATCTGTGTGTGGAGATGCATATTTGTGATCCCAGCACTTGGGAACTGAATTCAGGACGATAGGGAGTTCAAGGTCATGTTTAATTACATGGCGAGTTTGAGACCAGCCTGAGCTACATAAGACTCGGCCTCAAAAAAACAAGTCATTCAGGGATTTTTCCAGGCACATAGCTCAGGGTGTAGCTTTAGGGGTGTCCCTATGGCACAGAGGATGTAATAATAAGGCCTTGTCTTCATCTTACAGGTATAGCTAGACACTTTCGTTTTGGAAACCAAGAAGATGCCCATGAATTTCTTCAATACACAGTTGATGCCATGCAGAAAGCATGTTTAAATGGCAGCAATAAGTAAGTACAGCAGAGTCAATGTTGCCTCCTCAGGTCATGCTCTCAGCCTGTCTCCTTGAAGACGAAAATCTGTCTGCTGTGCCTTTTCCCCTGATTTGTAGTAGTATAAAATGACTAAAATGTAAGGAAATGGACTTAATGTAGCCATTTGAGTTTGTTGATCTTACATGTTGGGCAACAGACTTGCCACTGTTTAGTTTCTATGTCAGCATCCAGTGCTTTTTCTGTTTAGCCATGCCTAATGCTTTCCTTGTTCATCTCCAGACAGAACTCTGCTCCCCTCCCCGCCTTCAGTTATCAGTTTTGTAGCTTCTTAAAACCCAAATGCAGACTCAGGAAGGTCCTAACCCACCCACTGTGTTCTGTACACCTGCACATGTCCCTCTTTGCTCTCATTATTTCAAGTCATAAGGACTGGTTTGGGTGACCATTAGTGCTGAGCAGAGGGAGTTACTTTGTCTTCAGCTCCCCTTGCCAGGTTTGCAAAGAGCATTTCTTAGTTCTCTGTCGCAAGCCCCTTCCTAACAGGTCCTTGCATCCTCTTCACCAAGTTCTCACAGTGGGCTCTGATGTAATGGTCCTTTGTGATTCTTCTCTAAGTTCTTGTTCCTTTATAAACATAGATGCTTTTAAAGTCTGAGCACAATATTTGCCAAGCTTTCCTCTCATGTCTCTATTTGGATATTTTTCAGATTAGACAGACACACCCAAGCTACCACCCTAGTCTGCCAGATATTTGGAGGATACCTAAGATCTCGAGGTAAACTTTGAAGACTCATCATAACATACATGCTTATGGTTTTAAAATGTGAACAGGAGGGCTGGGTAATAATAAAGAGTATATCGCAGGTCTGCCCAGACTCTACTTCTGGCACTTGCTTATGCGCAGACACGTTGGGAGCATACCATGCCTAAGATCTTCGTGTTTCTCTTACTGCTAGAAAGCTTACAGGTGAAGTCAGAGTTCTATCTCATTTCCTGTTGAGGGATAAGTGAGTTTCTGTTTTGATAGTATTAGTATCAGTACACTGTAGAACATTAATAGTCAGATACCTTCATTTGTGCAAATGCTTATGCAGGTATCTAGAGGTGCTAGCAATGTATATTTCAGCCAGTGGCTTATACAGACTAGGGTTATGGCACTTCTACCACAGTGTAGGATTCCTTTACAGGCTTTTCGCTCATTGTAATAAAAGTTGTACTCTTATGTTCTTTATTTTGAAATGTATTCTGTCTTCTTGGTAGTTGGTAAGGCAAAAACTTACTGTTCATATTTTCTTTTATTTCAGTCAAATGTTTAAATTGCAAGGGTGTTTCAGATACCTTTGACCCATATTTGGACATAACATTGGAGATTAAGGTGAGCTCAGAAGTTAATGGTAGTGAGGTTAGACCCTCTCATATCCTTGGACTTTTTATGCTCATATCAGTCAAGCATAGATGGTTATTACTCTGAGAAACTTTGGCTATTGACTTCTTCACACTCCTGTTTTTTGTTGTTTGGAGCTTTTGTTTTTCTGATTACAGATGCAGTTCTGTGCTTAATAAACAAAGGAAAAATATTGCATAGAAATGCAAAGCCTACCTCAGAATTCATTCTTTTAGTGGTGTGATCTATATTGCTCCACAATAGATAGCTTGCTTTAAAAAAAAAAAAAAAAAATGCTTAGAAACTTCAGTGTATGTATGTGTATCTGTGTGTGTGTTGTATGTATTTAGGAGTGCCTGTAGGAAGACTAGAATCAGGCACTGGATCCCCTAGAGCCTGTGTGGGTGCTGGGAACTGAACTCTGGGTCTTTTGGAAGAGCAGTAAGTACTCCTAACCTCTGAACCATCTCTCAAGCCCTAGATTTGTTTCTGTTTATGAAGGTGGATTTATGAGTATATCTTAGCCTATCTGTTATTTTCATTTGATTCTGCTTGAAAGCCTTGCTCTCCAGGTAGTTGTATGTATGGTGGGTTGAGATATTCCACAGTTTACATGCCTGGTTCTTGTTGTTTTCCTTTTTATGTTAATATAAGTCAAACTGCAGTCTATTTTTGTTCTGTTTAATCTGCTTGTCCTTAAAATGAGGGAGGAGGCATAATTTCTTGAGTTTACATCATAAACAGTAAAAGAAAATTACATAAACATTTCCTGTTGCTTTTCTACCCAATGGGTAGGGGTGTAGGTAGGTGTGTGTGTGTGGATGTGTGTGTGCGCGCACACACACATGCGCGTGCACATTTTCTCTGTCTAGTGATATGTGCATTCGTCTATGCATCTCAACCCCTGGCAGTGTACATGATGACATAGTGTTTATGCCTTTTTCCTAGGCTGCTCAAAGTGTTACCAAGGCATTAGAGCAGTTTGTGAAGCCAGAACAACTAGACGGAGAAAACTCCTACAAATGCAGCAAGTATGACTGGGTGACATGTTTCCGGAGAGGGCTTTGCTTTCCTGAGATTATTCCAGTTTAGAACTGACTCAGTTTTAAGTGCTTTTTACATGATTTTCTTTTTCCCTATCCTTTTGTTTGGGGTATTGTATGTGGAGTTCAGAGTCTTACAGGTGCTAGGCAAATGCCCTACCATGGAGCTGTATTCTAACCCAAGTTAGCCATTTAATGTTACAAGTTATTGTTTTGAATTGTCTTTTGTTTTTCATTTTATTTATTTATTGGGTTTTTTTTTTTTTTTTTTTTTTTTTTGGTTTTGCTTTTTTCTGAGACAGGGTTTTTCTGTGTAGATTTTTTTTTTTTTTTTTGGAGCCTGTCCTGGAAGTCAGTCTGTAGACCAGGCTGGTCTTGAACTCACAGAGATCCGCCTGCCTCTGCCTCCCAAGTGCTGGGATTAAAGATATGGTCCACCACTGCCTGGTGAATTGTCTTTTTTTAAAGGCAGGGTCTTTTATGTGGCCCAGACTTGCTTTTGAATTTTAATGACCCTGAACAAACAAGCTTACATCTCTACTCTGTGTATGTGGTGTGACGGAAGATTAAACCTGGGGCTTTTCTGCATAGTAGGCAAGTGCTCAACCACTCATCCACATCCCCAACCCTCCTAGAATTTCTAATTTTACTGTTTTGACTGTTGGTTTAAAGAGATGGTTTGTTGTTGTTTTTTGTTTGTTTTAAAGTATTAACTTAGGGTGTTTTAGAAAAAAAACTAACACTAAAGTATCTACACTGATCATCCCAATGCTTCCTTCCTGTGTAATTGAAGGTGCAAAAAAATGGTTCCGGCTTCAAAAAGATTCACCATCCATAGGTCTTCTAATGTTCTCACTATTTCACTGAAGCGTTTTGCCAACTTCACCGGTGGAAAAATTGCTAAGGTATATACATGATTTGTGATTTTTTTTTTCATCATTGTACTTTGTATTTTCCCCCCTTTTCTTCCCAATTAATGGTGACAGTAACCAAGATATAGTAATGTGCTAGAGATATAACACATGCTTGAGTCACTTAAAATAAGTTGTGAGTGACTCTGAAGTTGTCACTGTTACATTTTGTTGAAGATTCACAGTGTGTATCCTTCCTTATTTATGGCAAATAAAAACAATGGGATTGCCCTCAGCTCTCTCTTATTTCATGCATTGAATTTCTGGGGTCAAGTGTAGGTCCTGCAAGTCCCTTCCTTGAACCCCCTCCTTGGATGTATACCAGTAGCCAAAAACATGGGCCACTTGTGTCTTTAAATTGATGGTCCTAACTCTTTCCTTTTATTTTTAGGATGTAAAATATCCTGAGTACCTTGATATTCGGCCCTATATGTCTCAGCCCAATGGAGAACCAATTATTTATGTTTTGTATGCTGTGCTGGTACACACTGGTTTTAACTGTCATGCTGGCCACTACTTTTGCTACATAAAGGTAAGCTGCAGGGTGGCTAGTAAGTCTGTGGGACAACACTGGATTCATGGGGCCAACAGTGGGACTTTTACAGTTAGCTGTGATGGTCTGTTTTTCTTTGGTGGTTTTGACTGCTCTTTGACATCAGACTAAATTCAGCCTCTCTTTGTGGTTTCTTTGGCAGGCTAGCAATGGCCTCTGGTATCAGATGAATGACTCCATCGTGTCCACCAGTGATATCAGATCGGTGCTTAACCAGCAAGCTTATGTGCTCTTTTATATCAGGTATTGACTTGAAAACAAGCTGTCTGTTTTGCTAGTGTACCAGCTTCTCCTCACCTTATGAACATAGTTAATTTTGAGCTACTTTTTAAAAACAGCAAGTTAAAGATGAATTGCTATGGCCTGAGCATCAGTTCTTTGTGTGTACAAGTAATGAGTTTGCTGTAGCTTCTCACTCACTGACAAGTGTAGAAGTTGGGAACAGTAGTCTTAAGGGGGCAACTGAGTGGCTGGGACTGTGGAGGCCGTGGGGAGGAGGCCCTTGTGCTCTCAGCTAGTACCTCCCTCCCCAGCTTGAACAAGGCCTCCAGTCACACACTGCCAGCACTCGTGTCCACTCTGTCTGCTGTAGCTGCAAGCTCATAACTCACCACTTCTATTTTTGGAGAAATCTGATACATGCTCCAAGTTGTCTCCTATCTTTGTAAGGTACTTGGGGTAGAACCCAGGGTCTCAAACATGCTAGCCGGGCCTCTGCCACATTCTCGCCCCAGAAAGTATAAGTAGCTGAAAATTAAGAGTCTCCCCACATATTCAGCCATGACAGAATGGTCATATTCACATGTTGAGGTACTATTACCAATGTTAAGAGTGATTGGTTTGTTCTGGGGCGGGGGGGGGGGGGGGGGGGAATCATGGTTTCACTGTATTATGCAAGCAGACCTTGATTTCTTAATCTTTCTGCTGAGAGTGATTTTCATAAAGCCTTCTTTTGTTTTAAATGCTCTGAGAAAATGCTGGATGTATATGGAGGGGAAACAGTTTAAAATACTAAATTCAGGTAGTGAAAAGAGTATGGGCAAAAAGCCTGGGAGGTGATCTAAATCAGAAGGGGGGGTGTGGATATATACTTTAACACATTGAGCCTCAGGCATAGATGGTCAGTACTCTCAGTACTCAGGCTCAGGCAGGAGGATCACCCCAAGTTTGAGGCCAGCCAGAATTACAGGAGTGAATTCCAAGCCATCCAGAGCATTAGAATGAGACATGTCTTCAAAACAATATCAAAAAGACAAAATCTACCAATAATAACAAGAAACCCAAACTAAAACCAACATTTCATTGTCCCAGTTGGTGCTGGGTTTGGTGGTACACACCTTTCATCCCAGCAGGCAAAGGCAGAAGCAGGTGGATCTCTGTATGTTCAAGGCCAGCCTAGTCTACATACCCAGTTCCAAGGTAACCAGGGCATGTAATGTGTCTTAGGGGGAAAAGGAGTGTGGGGAAGACTCATTGAGTCAGTTCCTTATACCTGCCTCAGCACTTAGCACTGACAGCCCTAATGGAGGTGATATATGTATAGCTCTGTCCATGAGACATGGAAGCTCCATTTCCCATTTCTGTCTGACAGACTAAGTGCTATTGGATTTGTAAATACAACTAAGGAGATATCCTTTCTCATAAAAGCCATTTCATTCTTTGTCCCCAGGTCACATGATGTGAAAAATGGAGGGGAACCTGCTCATCCTTCCCACAGCCCTGGCCAGTCCTCTCCCCGCCCAGGAATCAGTCAACGTGTTGTCAACAACAAGCAGGCAGCACAAGGGTTTATTGGACCCCAGCTGCCTTCCCATGTCATGAAGGTAACGCTTCAGTTGGGAAAGCATTTCTGCTTGAATCCTAAGCCTGGGTCACTGCAGCCCTTCATTACAAAAAGCCCCAGGATGTGGGGGTGATCCATTGGCGCTTAGGGAGTGTGTAGAAGGGCCCCTCTTACATTCCCACACTCCTCGTGGGCTAGATGTTTAGATTCTTAATTAAAGTTGGACTCAGGGAAGTGAAACTCTTTCAGGGACATGTCGTCCATGTTTGTGGTCCATCTTAGTGTGGCAGTGTGAAAGGGGTTTGTTTGTACACAGATAACAGAATTATGGGTATTTCTGCAGAGCTCAGGCTTGTCAGTTACTAAGACCAAAATGAGAAGGGCCCTAACCACTGTGTACTCTGTCTAGAATAATGACTCAACTGTTCTGTTCCTCCTTGTAGAATACATCACACTTGAATGGCACCACGCCAGTGAAAGACACACCAAGTAGTTCCATGTCAAGCCCTAATGGAAACACCAGCGTCAATAGGGCCAGTCCTGTTGTTGCTTCGACTTCTGTGCAAAACTGGTCTGTCAACAGGCCTTCAGTTATTCCAGAACACCCCAAGAAACAAAAAATTACCATCAGTATTCACAACAAGTTGCCTGTTCGCCAGGGTCAGGCACAGCTGAATAACAACCTCCATGGCTCTTCTCTGGAGGCTCCTAGCAAGGCAGCACCCTCCTCCACCATCACTAACCCTTCTGCAATACAGTCTACCTCGAACGCACCCATGACATCAGTTTCTAATAAAGTAGCAAAACCAGTTTCCCCCAGTGAATCCTGTTCCAAGCCCATGGTGAATGGCAAGGCTAAGATGAGCTCTGGCGTACTGGTTCCCTATGGGGCTGAGTCCTCAGAAGAGTCCGATGAGGAGTCAAAGGGTCTGGCCAAGGAGAATGGTGTAGACATGATGGCCAGCACTCCCTGTGTCAGGCCAGAAGCTGAAGATGAAGACAGTCAGGCTTCCCCTCATGAGCTTCAAGAATCTGTCACCCTGAATGGTGCTAATAGCTCAGACAGTGACTTGAGAGAGAATGGCCTGGCATTTGATAGTGCCAGCTGCCAGGTCCAGCCTGATCTACACACAGAAACCCTCTTTTCCAAACTTAATGGTCTTCCTGGAAAGGTGAGCGTCAGGGAGGGAAGTCTCAAATCCCATAGCTCACTTAGCTGAATTTTATTAGGCATGGAGCTGAAGTATCTTTGTTTCATTATAGGTGACATCTGCTCCTTTACAGACTGTTCCAGAAGACAGAATCCTCGAGACCTTCAAGCTTACCAACCAGGCAAAAGGCCAATTGGGTGAAGAGAGGTAGGAGCATGTCAGTGAGTGTACCAGTGTGAGTGAGCATATGAGAAGAATAACATACCACTCTGGGAAACCAGTAGTTACGATCCCTTGATGGCCTTAGCTGACATTTCCTCCTGCACACTCTTGGAGGTGCAGTGGTATTCCTGAAAACATTTGTTTTTGAGATAGGGACTCATATATTGTTGAGACTGACCTCCAACTTCTTATGTAGCTGAAAATGGCCTTGAATCCTCAGTCAGAGGACAGAGCCCAGAGTTGGTGTACACTGCCCTTAGCCCCTACACTTTTTTAGATAGGCTCTCACTATGTATGGCCTGGAACTTACTGTGTACATCAGACTGGTTTCAAATTCTTTCCTAGTTTCCCACTACAAGGGTTACAAGTATGTATAGACACTATTCCTGGCTACATTTAGCTCTTGAGACATGTTAAACACTTTGCCTGAAAGTATGTCATGTCCAGAACTGCAGCAATGTGAAAATTGGTGATCGTTGTGATTAACACTTTATTTTTATTTAATGAGGGAGGGGGAAAAAAAAACTTGGTTTTCAGTAATGATAAGCTTGATAGTACATTTCATCAGATATGCTTCAAGTATAGGCTATTGAGTAGAACTGTCCAGCAGTTAGTCCTGTGTGGCTGCAGTCAGGCTAACCATCAGTTTGTTTCTTTGTTTTGATGGGGCTGTAGTTGGACTGCAACAGGGGAAAGCCCCACGAAGGACCCTATTTCACAGCTGGAGCCCATCAGTGATGAGACTGGTCCCCTTGAGACACCAGAGGCAGTCACCAATGGGAGCTTGAAGACCCCTTCGACCATGTCACCCCAGGAGCCCACCATCAACTGTACCAAAGAAGATGCCTCCGTTGTTGTTTCAGCTAACCCTGTGGAGGCTCTGCCTTCTAGCACTGCTCTTTGTGACACCACCGGTACTACCTTGGGGGATGCCCCACTGCCTGAATTGTGTGAGCCTAATGACTTGATTGCCAACCCGAGCCAGACAACCCAAGCAGTGAAAGAGGAAATGGCTGAGAACCCACAGCAGGACTCTACCTTGCCTGAAGCGGTAGAGAGGCTGAGCCCGGCTCCCTCAGTACTCACAGGTGATGGGTGTGAACAAAAACTTTTCCTTTACCTCAGCACAGAGGGGTCCGAGGAGGCGGAGGACTCCTCCAGAAGCTCGGGGATCTCTGCAGACACAGTGCTTCCTCAGCCTGATAGGACCACCAGCTCTTGTGAAGGGGCTGCTGAGCAGGTGACTGCGGAGAGAGGTGATGGAACCCAGGTGGTACCCAAAGTTCAGGAGCCTTCCCCAGCCAAGGAAAAGGGGAGCAGCCTCCGGAAAGTGGATCGAGGACATTATCGAAGCCGGAGAGAGCGTTCCTCCAGTGGGGAACATGCAAGGGACGGCAGGGCCCGGACCGAGGACCATCATCGTAAGAAGCGGCGGTGCTACAGTCGAGAGCGCACCAAGCAGGAGCGCCATCCTGCTAATACATACTGCAATGGAGGCCAGCACCTGGGCCATGGCGACAGAGCCAGCCCTGAGCGCCACTCTGTGAGCAGATACAGCCACCATCACTCACGGGTTAGGAATGGCCCAGAACAGGACTGGAGCCGGTACCACCATTTGGAAAACGAGCATGCCTGGGTTAGGGAGAGATTTTACCCAGACAAAATGCGGTGGGACAAATGCAGGCATTACCACGACAGGTATATCCCATACACAGCCCGAGAGTGGCGGCCTTTCCGTGCTCGTGAGCATGAACGCACTGCTCAGCTTGGGCGTTCACACAAAGACAGCTATTGGGGCCGCAAGGGCTGGGAGCTGCAATCTCGGGGGAAGGAAAGACCCCACTTCCATAACCCCAGAGAGGCCTCTGGCCTCACCCTGGCCCTCGAGAGGCATCACCAAGAGAAGGCCGTGCTGGATGTGCAGGAGAGCACCCACAGCCTCCCTGAGCGCTTTCATGAACACCAAAGTGACAAGCCGAGGAAACAGAGGTATGAGACACTAGAAAATGATAGCCGCCTAGAGAAAAAAGCCCACAAAGGCCTGGAGAAAGACACTGTAGAACAGCCAAGGACGAAGAAGCACAAAAAATCTAAAAAGAAAAAGAAGTCCAAAGATAAACACCGGGACCGAGATAGCAGGTGAGCTCTGGAGATGGGACCCAGCGGCTGAGTTTGGAGTGCTTATGTAGCTGTCTGTCCTGACAACACCAAGCCAGAGGGCTCTTGTTATCAGGTTGACTTTTTTCTTAAATCACTGGAGTTTTGAGATTTTTTTTTTACTTTAAATTCAAAACAATCTTATTTTATATACCAATCCCAGTTCCCTCTCCCTCCCATCCTCCTGCTTTCTCTATCAATCTTCACATTTCTCCCCCTCCCCCCATTCACTCCTCAAAGAGGGTGAGGCCTGCCATGGGGGATCATCAGAGTCTGTCACATCATTTGGGGCAGGACCAAGGCCCTCTCACCCTGTATCCAGGCCCACAAACCCAGGAGATTTCATTGTTTTACACATCTCTAAAGTTTGAAACAGCTTTTAAATTGTTGATCCCTAACAACTCTCCCAGGCCTGACATGTGTCATCATATTCTTATATCTGTTGGCTTTTCTTTGCCTGTTTCCCTGCTTAGAGTGCACTTAGGTAACACCATCTATCTATTTCTTTGGCTTTTGTCTCCTTTTTTAGGCCACCATTTGTTATTTTAAAGTCTTAAATGTTTTTTTTTTGTCTTTTTGAGGTCCAAGCTGGCCTCAAACTTACATCCACCTACCTTAATGTCCCCCAGTGCTTGGATTCACAAGTTGTTGTCACCGTACCTGATTGGTTTTGCGTCACTTAGAAGCTAACTCTTGGCAGCTGTCTTAATTGATTTCTGATTTGTGAGCATGAATGCATTCCTGTATCTTTTAGCTGACATCACTTAAATTAAAACTGGGTGAAGATTACCATAGTCCTTTGTAAACAGGCAGCAGACCACAGCTGCCTTCTATTCTGTGCCTGGACACTTGGCAGAATGTGCCAATTCTGGCTAAGGCAAAGAAGTACTGGGGACAGTGTTATTGTAATTGAAGACCTTGGGCTTAAAATTTGTTTCCATGAAACAAAACAGTATGTTGGCAGGAGAAATTTTTTTCACAGATGCATAGCTAGTGTCCTGGGGGATGGGGAGCCAGGATTGCAGTTTTCCTTGGTACTGAATTCTGGCTGCTTCTTCTGCAGGCATCAGCAAGAATCCGATTTTTCAGGAGCATACTCTGATGCTGACCTCCACAGACATCGGAAGAAAAAGAAGAAAAAGAAAAGACATTCAAGGAAGTCAGAGAACTTCGTGAAAGATGTTGAGTTGCATTTATCGAAGCCCTCGAACTACGAGGCTGTCAGCCATTTCCGGAAAACAGGAGACACCTTTCTGCTGGCTGATGGCCTGCCTCTGGAGGCCAGCAGCTCTTTCCGGGAGAAAACCAAGCATTTAAGGGTAGAAAGCCGGCCTGACAGATGCTATCTGTCAGAGTATGGCCAGGGTAAGGAAACGGGAAGTTAAGGATACAGCTCTCTGAGTAACATGTTTTGGGAAAGGTGATGAACACAGAAATGTAAAGCGTACTGAAGGGTATGAAAGTGGACTCAATATGCACCAAAACAAGACCGTTACAATGAGCAGAGGTGTGGTTTGACCTCTGGCTGGGTGTGACCTCTGTTGAAGGCTGGGCCCAGCATAGGCTCTGTGTTCAGAATGCTGGAACGTAAGAGAGAGCCTATGTGTGTCACACAGAACTTTGGCTTTTAAAGTAGTCTGTGCCTGTGTATGTTTGTGTGTACCCATGTGTACATCTATGTGTGTGTGGTCTCTAAAGATGCATCTGTAGTGTGGGGCTCCCTCCAGGCTGCTGGTTTCTGAGGTTCTTCTTGGTGGATCTCTTCTCCCTAAATGAGTGGTTCCAGGCTAACCCAGAACTCAAAAACCTACCTCACCCTCCTGAGTGCTGAGAATACAGGCCAGTGCCACTGTGCTTAGCTGCCCCTTCCTCTTCCTACTCTATTTCTAATGAGCGTTTCCCCTAGATAGGAGCATTTGGCTTGTAAAATAAAATGCATGGGATATGAATGTCAGTAGGGCAGAGCAGAGGCAGGCAACAAGCCCTGGGGCCACAACCTAATCTGCACTTCAGAATGGCTCTAACACTTAAATATATGAGGAGTAGTTTTCATTCAAGTGAAGCACTGTGTGGAATGAGAGGTTTGGGGCCAGTAGACTGTGAAGCCCATGTGTTTTCTGTTACTGTTTTGGTGTCACTCAGTAGACATGAGACATGGCCTGTCCTATTGAAATGTTTTTCTTCATTTGGCTATTGATATAAAAAGCATGTCATCTTCCCCAGACACCCAAAGATCATGGTCACAAATAAATGCATGTGTGTTGCTACAGAGATGTGATGGTGGCCCTGAGTGGAACCTTTGTTCATTGGCAGTCCATCCATACACTGTCTCAGGTTGTCCCAATCCCAAACTGGTGGCTGGTTTGTAGCTAATGCCTCTGTACCCACACCTCTGCTCTGGGCTATGACCCTGACCCTTTCTTACCAACTCCAGCTCTCTGTAGGACGCTCAGCTTATTTCTTGGGGCTGAAACCTGTTCATCCTCACATAAGAAGTGTGTAACAGTATGCTGGGGTAGAGGCCTGGTTTCCAGGCCTGGCTCTGAGCATCCTCCATTGGTGTTCTTTGTAACACTGCCAGCCAGGGTCTGCTTGCTCATCCTGTAGGAGTGATTCTTTTAGCAGCTGACATCAAACTACAGAAACTGATATAGTCAGTCTTCAGTTACACACATTAAATTGTTTCCTCACTTTGCCTTCCAGGTGATTAGAGCCTTGGCCTCGTAACAAAAAAAAAAAAAAAAAAAAAAAAAAAAAAAATTACGGTAAGCAATTTTCCTGTCTGTGTTTTGGTCATTTGTAAAAGTGCTGAGTGGATAAAGGCGGGTTTCCTTCTGAAGAAGACTGGGATCCTGGTGGTCTGTGTCTGTGGCACACACTTAGCCGCTGGCTAACGTCCAGACATGGAAGTTGTGCTGAGAAATGGGGTTGAGTATCTGAGAGCAGAGAGGAACCACACAGGTCAGTGCCATATCCTAGGTCCTAATTGCTGGTGTTTTATTGTATGGCCTTGAGACAGGAACTCAGTCTACACCAGAAGCACAAAGGACAGTGTCAAGTCCAGCCTCAAGGAGGGCGTTAAAACAATCTGCTATAGCAGCTCAGTTTGCTGCTAATTAACAGGCTTTGTCAGTGTCATCAAAACAAACTCTAAGCCCCTCTACCCAGTGAAAGTGGAACCTGAGGTCTGAGGTGGTTAGCAGCTGTGGGGCCCAGCAGATGGCGCCTTCCTGACTTTCACAGAGTTCCCTTGTTAAAGTTCAGGAAGGTACAGAACTCACTTCAACTTTTCAAAAGCCTTGGGTTTCATCCAGAGTGTGTGACAAAATTGTAGCCTCCATTCAGCTAATTAATGCCCACACCTCTTTTCTTTCAGATTCAACATTTTCAACAGAAGCCATCCCAAACCCAGATTAAATTATAAACATAGAAAATAACTGTCCAAACTGCGTGGTGCTTCTTTAGTAAATACTGTACAGACTACCATGGACAACTTTTTTTTTTTAAGTTTTTACCTTTTCTTAATTGCCCTTATTCCAAACGGATACTTTGTACACTGCTGAACATTGTAAATTACCGTGTACATAAAAACCACACTGAAAATAATGCCCTGGAATAGACCATCTCAGATGCTGCTTAACTACAGACTCAGGTTGACTACTTGTATTTCATGTAATGTTCCTCCAAGCTAGACATCTGGTGCACGGCCAACTGGGAACCATGGACTTCTAAAGGACAAACCAACAGTGCGTCTATTTAATTTAAAGACTTATTTAAAGACCCAAGCTCTCAACTAGACCTTCGAGGGCTTCCTCTGCAATGTCTGATACTAGAAACTAATTTGCTTCACATTTTAGTTGTATTCAAGATTTGAAGATGTATTTTATAGACAAGTTCTGTTTTTGAACTTTGTGGAACTATTCCAATCAATTTACCAGTTATGATGAGTATTTGCATTATGAATGTATAATCCAGACATTATTTGTAAAGCCTACAGTATGTTTTTATTACCTAACACTTTTTATACTGTGTCTCGTCTTGACAATATGATATTGGAGTCTGAGTCGTCAGCTTGATCCCTTCAAGTTTCTAGTTACAGACAAAAATCATACTGTGATTTTATTTTTAATATGGATATGCTATCAAACTGTGATACACTTATAATTCACTGGTCCTGCATCAGGAGACGGGAGTGGGGAAAAGACTGTATTTAATACAGTGTGTATCTGAATAATCTGTATGGTTTATACAGTTTGTGTTGTTCAGAGATGTCTAAAGTTGATCTTTGTTTTTTTAAGATTAAAAAAGCACTTGCCCCACTGTATATACGGCATGTAAGATTTATATAGTATATAAATAGCAGCAAATTAAATAACTCTGGCTCAGTTTCTCTGTTCTCCATAAGCTCACAACCACATCTGTTTTAAAGAATTGAGTCTGAAGCAGTTCTGTTTTAGCAGTACGTTTTTATTTAGGGAACACAGTATTTGCAATAGTTTTTGACAGCTGTAAGCCCTCCATGTTACTAGCTGTTTGCTTTGCAATAAAATAGCCAAAAATTCTGATACATTAATAGGATATTTCTTCATGCAGGTTGTAGGAATATGTACATTGTATGTAACAAACACTGCAGAAATTAATACATATGTACATTATTTACATAGCAACTATTGTAAATAGAAATGTTTTCTAAGATAAAAAGAAATCACTTGTGGTTTCTGGTCTGTAACAGACCAGCATAGCACAGCTGTAGCTCTGAAAATCGGCGTGACAAGAAGCATAGAGAAGGATACTGCACTAGGTAGACTGTGGGACCATGTCACTCAAGTGTTCTGATACTTCCAGGGCCAGTCTACCTACACCTGAAAATGACGGCCAGGGCCCAGCAGGACAGGAAACTGTCTTTGGCCAGAGTAGGACTTAATGCTTTGATGATGAGTGCAGACAAAGGGCATGAGTATGACCGAGACTTTGCAAGCCCTGGAAGTAGCCAGATGCCCTTGGGATTAATACTGTCACAACATAACCTGAGTTAGGTGACTCCATATGGACACTGAGAGCCAGTAACTTAGGATTCTTAGCACCAACAGCCATAAGGCAAAGTCCCCTCAAAGACACCATCAGGTGGCCTGGCCTCATGCTTAACATCTTCAACATCCAACAGAGAACTCTGTATCCCCAGGACCATACCGGGGTTGGACATGAGAAGCAGACTAACCAGAGCCCTGATGGAGGCTTGTCAGTCACCCCACCTCACACACGCACACACACAGATGCCCAACCAGCAGCAAGTTGTGGTCTGAGGTGGTGAAGGCTGGGGTAGGGATCGTGGAAGACTAGAAGCCAAGCTGCATACACACACCGGCCAGGCAGCTCAAAGGTTTCAGATCTGAGGTATTATTAGTAAAAGTAAAAGCCTAGAAGCTTGGGAACAAACCAAAGAGTGATCAGTCTGGTACAAGAACCTTGACATCCCCCCTGCCCAAAATAAGTCTTTGTGACAGCTCACAGAACATCATATCACATCTAAGTGCATTCAAGGGCCCTTGGGATGCAAGCTCCAGGTGTGTCTGCATAGACAGAGCAGGGAAACAGGCAGGGAAGGCCATTCCCCAAACATGTAGCCCCAAGAGGGTCCTCCAAATTGAGTGGGCTTCCCCAGAAGTGCAACAGCAAAGGCCTGATCACCTTGCCCACTCTCAGCCCAAGCACATGGCACCCTGAAACCACATCTGGTCTATACAGGGCTCTGTGTGCCCCTGGCTTCCCTAAATGGGGGCCCTCTTCAGCTTTCCCCTCCAAAGGGATGCCAAATGTTGGAGATCCTGGCACTACCAGAAGATAGGTGGGTTACTTCTGGCTATTCGTGCCTAGTCATTGCATCAAATACTGGATCTAATTACTATGTCAGTGAGCACTTAACCAAAAGTTTGAAACAGCCAGCAACGAAAGTATGGAAGACAGCATGAGCCAGGTTCAGATGGACCACACAGAACTGTCATGTGTAAAGGTCAAACCGTTTCATGTGGTTCTAAACACAAACAGCCTGTTTCCAGGGAAACGACTCTCACCTCCTGGGCCTCAACACTGACAGGATAAGCATCCCGAGCCATAACCGTATTTTAATGGCTGAGAGAAGCACGTGAGGGGAGTGGCAGCTAGCTACACCTGGGGTCTTCCAGTGCCTCATCACCCAGAGTGGCCGCCTGTGCCCCACTGGACACATCAGGCCCCCAGCCACTCCAACTCAAGTGCTTGGGGACTGCATATATAGTCTGTGTTCAGTGCACAGTATATGCTTGTGTCCAAGAGTTAAGTTTATAGCTGCCATTCTAAAAATACTACTGTTAGAAATTAAGTATCTTTCATTATAATTTTCAGAATATAAAAGGCATATAAAAGCTATAATCCTATATATCTGAGAAAAATTCTGAATAAAAAAGTGGTAGGTTTTCCTTTCCCATTTTGATAAAAAAAAAAAAACAAAAACAAAAACAAAAAACAAAAACAAAACAAAAAAAAAACAAAAAAACAGCGACTTCTAGAACAGCTAGTGCTGCCCAAAAGAGCAGGTGTGGTATGGTGTGGATGAGGCTCTGGCTCCAGAAAAAGAGTCCCATGTGGGCTGTGCAGGTCCTGAAGCTGTCACCAGGTGCTGTGTGGCCAAGGGTCCCTAAAGGTCAATGACAGGATGGTGGCAGGAAGGAAGCACAGCTGACCAACATCCCTGAGGACAGCAAGAGGCTCTCAGGGCTTGGGCCTTGGCTAGCTGTTCTGGAAGACCCATGGGTGCCACACCAGCCCCTCGTCCCGCTGCTTGTGAGTAGCCGGTGCATCTGCTGTGGAGTCTGGATCTTGGCATTTACCTATTTCTTATTGGCAATCCTCCTTTTCCTCGTGGCCAACATGTCATAGAACGGGTCCCTACTGATGCTTGCTCTGGGGGAGAAAGGAAGGTAAGTGGATTGTGGCTGCAGGAAGGCCTGGATGCCCAATCCCACCACCCCACAGGTGCCAAGCAAGCAGCAGGTGTAGGTCTTGAGGTAGCCATGCCGACCTTTTCTAGGTTTCTGACAAAGGTCATTCCTGACATACAGGATTCCAACATGCACACGTGTGCACACACTCCTGCTCCCCACGGGACTGATCAGCCTGGCTGTTTTCACTCACTTGATGGACTTCATCCACTCCTCCTTCTCCTCAGGGCTGGGAGCGGAGATCCGGTACACAACATGGTTCCCCTCTACCACACGGCCATCTGCCTCTGTCTTGCAGGCTTTGATGACCTGCCCTTTGTGACTGGGGTTGTACAGTTCAAAGCAATTCTGGTAGAGAGAAAAGAGCTGTCACATGGGCAGGGGGGGAGGGGAGGTTGCAAAGACCTAGAGTGAAGAGGCACAGGCAAGTAAAACCTCGTACCGGTTTCCGGGGGTCCTCCACCTCCCTGATGCTGAGGTTCTCCAGCGGGATGATTCCCCTGGGCTCCTTGTCCTAGAAGAGAGATGTGTGAGGCAAGGCCTGACAGGCTGAGGTTCCCAGAACTGTAGAGAACATGCAGCCTTACTTACCGTAGTGTATTCAAAGTAGTAGAGGCAGTTATCTGTGAGGATGAACCAGCGCCGTTTCCAGGTCTTCACACGCCCACCTAGGAGCAGAAGAGCCTGTGAGGCAGGTGCCCAGGCAGCTGGAGCCAAAGGCCCAGAGAGGGGCCCAGAATCCCCCTACCACATCACTGCCCTGTCAAAGGAGCCAAGCTCAGGACTGGGCTTCCTTTCAAACCATCCCATATTGACCCATTAGAAAGTTCAGGGTAAGCCATGAGGCCTGACCATCCAGGATGGTTGGGTGCAGGGCTGGGTCCCCCATGCACCCCCCACCCAGGGCCCACGCAGGTGCCCTCTCTCCATGGCCACCCAGGGTCACCCTAGGTCACATACTGCTTTCAAATCTGCTTCCTGGAAAAGTTAGTTGTAATGGATGAGCGTAATTTCCCCCATGAAATGAACATGATGAAGTCAGTGCTGGCTCACCCAGGTCTGTCCAGGCTTAATCCCGTTACATCAGGGTGGTTATCGCATTACTGGGACTTTGAGCAGCCCTGGGATCCATCAAAGTCAATTACTCTTGGCCCAGGGAATTATTAGATTGAATTAATCTTTTAACAAGATCTGGAGCACATGTGTACATTTACGTATGTATGTACACACACACACACACACACACACACACCAAGCACACATATAAATGCACGCACACACAAGCTATCTGTACCTGCTCTTTACTATAAAAAGGAAACCTTCTGCCCTAACTTGTTACTGTCAGTCAAATTTATACTGACAGGTTTTGCTTTTGACAAGGAGTTTGATGGGGGGGGGAGCTGCTTGTGGTAACAAATTCAGGGTCTACCAAGGACTCCAGATGAGTTGGCCCTCCCTGCCCCATAGGCTCCTGGAACTAACTGGCAATACAGAGGAACTGGCTTGGCTTTCTCTACAACATGCCAGGAGGTGGGGAGTGTGTCTGGGGGCTGCAGCTGCAGCTTCCTACACTTTGCAGGTCAATGCAGGTACTGGGAAGAACTGCAGGAGGCTCAGAAGGTGCCCACAGTGAGGGAGGGACTTCCCAGGCTCCAAGTGGGCCTTCCAGTTACAGAGACCCAAATACAGGTGACAGAAGGAACAGAGGAGGGAATTTTACCCTGTCAGAGTGGAGAGTCTTCAAGGCAATGGGGGATCCCCAAAACACAGTGGAATGTTGGGCCAGCCGAAGCCCGTCTCCACACCACACCTCCTTAGGCTTCTCCAGCCTGCAGTCAGACCTTTCTCCCACCATCTTTCCTGATGGCTGGCCTAAACCCCTGCTCTTCAAATCACAGCCTCCTCACTGCCCTCACTCAGGGCCACCATTACACATGGGAAACGAGGGTTTTTGGGGAAGACCTATCCCATGCAGGGGCCCAGAAGAACCTCAGTTTAGCCTCTCTTTTTTCAAACACCTCCACTGAGGAGGAAAAGAGAAAGGAATGCCAAGATCTAGCCACACTAGCTAACTGAATCAGGTTAGAGGAAACTTGCCACGCAGGCGCCTACCACCAGTGTTGCCTCTTCTCCCCTCTGAGACTCTCACTGCAGTCACCCCAGCTACTTTGGTGCATCTGGCCTAGGGCACTTTCCCAACAATATCCAGAAGAGTGCTTGGAAACTAACTGGCCAAATCCCTTCTCTCCCTCCCCAGACATGGGCTTCCTTTGGCAGAGTTGCTCCAGATCTCTGTGTGGCAGCAGCCCCTGCCAAGTGCCCGCTCCTCCTCTGTGTTCCCACGTGCTGTCAGACCTCAAGTGCTCTGCTCAGCCCCATGCCCCCTGACCTGCCAGGTGTGGGGTTATAGATGTCCAGAAGGGGTATCTGTGAGAATGGAGGGCCTTGGCTCTGTACCCAGGACATACCAACTGCTCCCATGGTCAGGATGATTGTGGCACCTGGCCAGTAGGCACCTACACTAATCAGGGTCAGCTGGGCTCTAGGCAACTCAGCAAGGATCCCATTTGGCTTAGATGCAAGCCTAGTAGGAGCAATAGCCAAAACCTGAAGCTACATCAGATTCTCTACAAGGTGGCAGGATGTCCTCCATTAGCCAATCCTGCTTTCAGTCCTGTGCACAGGAGCTATGCTCCCAAACACTTTTATGTTTTTATATTTTCACTTTCATTGCTGTTACCAAGCATGTGTAGGTGGACACACATGGCTGCACACACATATAAACACATTGACACTTGCTCTCCCATGATAACTCAACTACATCCTATGTTTTTGACATGAACGGCTCAAAACCCATCACTAGCCCCACCAAGACTGCAGAACACTTCCAGCATGTCTTCCACCCTCTGAACATTTCTGGAGAAGTACAAGTTGGCTGTGGCAAATGCTAGGTCTGGGCTCCTTCACACAACTGAAGGAAACCACTGGGAATAAGTGCCCATGGGCACCAGGCTCCTGGGAAAGCCCAGTGCAAGCTAATTCTGCCCACCAGCTTTCTGGGGTGCCATCTATGGACGGTGCCTCATGTAATCTGGGCTTTGGCCTCAAGACTTTACCCCTAGAGCAGAGAGAAGCCAGTGGCTGCTGGTGTGAGGCAGCCCACAGTGCCAGCACTGACTGGACCTTAGGTCCCTGCATCTGGCTGCACTGGATCAAGGCTGAACCAGCAGCACAGTACAAGTGCTCTGCATACTCGTTCATGGCCTGCTAAGATGCCCAACCAGAAAATGGGTTAGAAAACACGAGCTGGTATATGTCTTAGTTTCATTCATTCATTTTTATCCTAGGGACTGGTCTCTTTGTAGTGGCAGAAGCCTCATGAACTGCCAGGAAACTGGTATTGCCATCATCCTTTGAGGGGCTTCTGGTCACTGCTGGGGGCTCAGGATGCACTCCTCCTCCTTTCTCGAGTCTAAGTCCATAAGCAGTGTGACTTGAGGGCTCCAGTGTGCCCTAGCCACTCAGGTGTCCAAGTTCAAGGTTATTGTACTAGATTTTAAGGCCAACAATGAGAACATTTCCAACTTTGACAGTGAGAGCAAAGCCAAAGAGCAACAGCTAAGGCCAAAGTTCCACAGGGAAACATATGACCCTCAGGAGAACGCCATCAGCTGTACCTGCCACATGTCTCCAACTCACAGCACATTCTCCTTTGATCCATTTTTTAAAAAGCATCATGAGAATTTTATTCCTCGTGTCTTTCTTATTACACAGGTTGCTATCACATGTCACAGGCTTTACTGTCACCCTACAGTACTTTCATCCCCCCCAAAGTCAAAATGAAGCCTAAAAATCTCAATTGTCCCAAATGCAGGAAACTTGTTTTCAATAAGGAAGCCTTTGTACAGGTGCAAACATTGTTGGTTAGTGGGGGTTAGGGGTGGCCCTGTAAGGACAGGCTGATCATGAGTTTCCTCACTGCTGCAGGACCTTGAAGATGGGGAGGCAAGCTTGCTCCCACACAGTCTCCCTCTGGGCCGTGCCCCAGATAGGTGGGTATCACACACACTACACCTGCACGATGCTGCCCCAGCCAAGTCCAAAGCCAAATGAATCAGATGAATGGCAACTACAGACCGGAGCTTCACACAGACCAACGTGGGGGAGAGAATGAGCCGCTGGGGAGGGGAGGAAGCCACTGGGTACCTACCTCCTAATGCAGGACAAGCAGGGACAGCCCGTCACAGAACAGAAAGGTGGGAGCCACAGGCAGAAGGGAAACAACAAGAAGGCACATTTAAACCACTCGTCAGAATCACAGCCACGCCAAAGCACGAGAAAGCACACAGGTTCTGGAGATAAAGCACTTGCTTCTTGGATTCACATGGACACTAACTCAGTAGCTTTCTGGGATGGCTTGTGCAGTGGATGCTGCAAGCATGGCCCGCTCTGGAAAGCCACAACTCAGTGACATAGCCACCAGTGCAGGGATGTGTGGCTGCCCAGAGCAGCTCTGGCTTGACTGCATTTTTCTTTTTATCTTTCTGCCTTGTAGGTGGGGCTGTGGCTCCAAGGAAGGAGCGGGACAAGAAGCCCTTGGGAGCTGCTGCTGTGGGCTGAGGGGTGCGGGCGCAGGTCCCTCCCACCCTGACAGGCTCACCCAGCTTCAGCAACCAGCCTTCTCGGTCTGGGTTGAAGAACGTGTGTGTCAAATCATTCCCGTCATCTTCCGGGATCTTAAACGGCTCATTCTTGATACTTTCATATAAGTTCTGTAACAGAGGAGCAGAGCCAATCAGGGGCTAGAAGAAGTGGCCAGCTACCCTCCCTCCCTCACAGAACTGTCACACTGCTGAGACCAGGAGGTTAGGGAGGCACTCGGAAGGCACCTTTGAAATCAACAAACCAGCACCACTGATTTTCATAGGATTATGAGTATTTGGAGATATAAAAATAACTTCAGAGAAATAAAGTATATCACCAAAATTTAAAAAAAAAATAACTTGAGAGGTTGGGATATGTCTCAGTTGGTGAAATGCTTGCCTGCAAACATGAAGACCCCATTTTAGATGCCCAGCACCTGTATAAACAAGAACCTAGGTTTGGTAGGTTTATGCCTATCATCTTAGAGGCAGAGACAGGAGGATCCTGGGGAATTACTGGCCAGTGACAGACCCTGCCACCAAACAACATCAACAAACATCTGGCGATGGTGGAATGGCTCAGTAGGTGAAGGCATGTAGGCACACAAACTTGTCAACATAAGCTCCATCCACAGAACTCATAGACATATGGAAGGAGAGAACCAACTCCACAAAGTTGTTCTCTGACCGCCACATGTCACATACATCATGCACACACACACTAAAAATAGTAAGTAAAAAACAAGGCAGAGAGAGAGAGAAACCCAACACTGACCTCGATACCACCCTCCACGAGTAGGAAAACCCCATAACTGAGGACAAGGAAGGAGCCAGTGATGGCCAGTCTTAATTGTCAGCATGGCACAATCTAGAATCATCTGCGGAAGACGTCTCAATGAGGGATTGTTTAGATCAGGTTGACCTATGAGGAAGGGTGGCCAGCCTAACAGTGGATGCTGCCACTCTCTAGGTTTGGGACCTCAGGGGCATAAAAACAGGGTCCGAGCTGCATGCACGTGTGCTCTTAGCCCTTGGTAGATTTGACTAGGTGCTTCAAGTTCCCACTTTGACTTCCCCACATTGACAGGCTGTAAGCTAGACTTCATAATTTGAACTCTTACTCCCTTAAAATTGCACTGGTCACGATATTTTATCATAGCACAGATATGAAGCTAGGACACACACACAGCTGGGCAAGCAGCTGCCTGTGGACTCACCCTCAGCAGTTCCTCAGGGAGGTCCCCACCCTCATTGATGCCTCGGTTCATGGTGATGAAGCGCTCGGCAGTAGGCTTGTCTCGCACATTGTGGTTGTGCAAGCTGGTATTGAGCATGATGATGGCAAAGGACAGCACGTAGCATGTATCTGCAACAGGCCACAGATGTGGAGGCTTCAAGCTCAGCTTACATTTCCACATGGAGAGTGGGACCCCAGAAGCGTTGCCTATGCTGCCCCTCGGGCAGAATGGCCTGCCCACTTTAAGGGATGGTTCCCTAACAGGGGCAGTGGGGGTGATGGGAGCTGGGTGGGTGCATCTCAACTCAGTGATGTGGCAGGCTGCTGACCTGTGGACTGGAAGACCCCAGGGTTGCACAGGCAGTATCTTGATGCGAAGGCCTCCATCATGCGGTCGATCTTCTGTGCCTCTCCAGGAAGTCGGAAACTCCATAGAAACTGCCTGTAAAGACAGAGGATGATTCCTTGAGTGACCTTGGGAGGACAGATCTGGCCAGGTCCCCAAGTAGCTCCTGCTCCACACCACAATAGCATGGCCTCCTCAGTCTGAGTGCCTAGAAATGCCATGGAGCAAGCTTGTCTCCTCCTATTCAAGTGAAGACAGCTGTCTGCTCTTTTGGGTGACTTCAAACTATTCTTCAAGATCTGCTACAGACACTTCAAGCCTGAATGGGATCCCAGTATGCTTTGTCTCCCATGTTACCACCTCCTACATGCACCAGGTGATACCAGGGCTAGCTACTCTAGCCCTGTGGGGGCTACAGTTCTGACAAGATAAAGGATCTTCTCCCTCTCAGGACTCCTCACCACAAGGCAAGGTCAGAGTCAGCAGCCAGTGCATACACATCTTCCAGTCCACATTCAGTCTGTTGCGGTGTCACTCCTGCCTTCAAGGACGAGGGCCAAGCACACAGATGCTCAGAAGATCCCCTCCCACTAAGGTCTCCTCTGGGTGCCCTATGTAACACTGTAGCTCCTGTCCCACAGCTCTACTCCTTCTTGTTTTGCTTTCCCAGGCTACAAGGCACCCACTAGCATTCCCCACCTGCCTGCCTTAAGTACCAAAGGAAAGGTTATGGCTGCGTTGCCTTCTAGAGTCACCCTGGCCAGTGAAGCTCATGACTGCTCAGAGACAGTCATGCAACAATGGCTCAGCATGAAGACAAAAGGTCCACAGGCTGCAGGAAAGCACCTGGACTGTTCAGTGATACAAGGGTTCTTCTCTCTCTGGGTTCTTCCTCCAATGCAGGCCCAGTAAGCAGGACTATTTCCTCTAGGCCTGTCCATCAATCCTCCCTTCTTGTCACTGCCCCCATCACCAGAGGGATTCCAGCCACAGTCAGGCACTCACTCTACCAAATCCTGGCTGAATAGAATCACACACTGACATCCCAGTCCCACTTTCAAGACACTTTCCCACTCCGCCCCACATGGTCAGCAAAGCACCACAGACATGTTCTCCTTGCTACCCCACCCCCACTTGCTCCATCAGAGCCCCCTCCTCAGTTCTGACCACTCCATGACCATACTCCACCCCCTAGTCTGATGACCTCTTACCCAGCATCACACTTTATTCCTACAGCAGGCAGCTTCTATCAAGAAGCAATCAAACAGGCATTAGCAAGCCTTCCATCTTCCCTGCACCCATAGTGGACTCTGCACCATTCTGAGCATGTCCTACTTGCATCCATGGTTGCCCCAAAGACAGAGAGGAGACAGTGCTAATAGGCTAGGCACAGCCAAGACAGAATCCACTGGAGCAAGCCCAAGTTAGGCAGCAGCTACTCACTGTCCTCAATCTGGTGAAGAGGTCACCTCAGGCTTTGCCCTCTGACTCTAAGGCAGGCACACAGAGTAACAAAAACCAGAACCATAGTGGTTCAGATCATCAGGTCTGAGCCTTTCTCTGGTCCTAAAGTTCTCCAAAACTGAACCTAAAGTAAGCTCACCAGGTCTGTAAGACTCCTGTATGGCTTTCCTGATGGCAAGCCTTTCAGTCCAGGCTCAGCTGCTTAGCAGTGTCCCAAGGGCCACAACCAAAGGCTGCCAACATTCTGGTCTGCAGTTGGAGTAAGATGGTGTGAACAACCCCAGAGGCAGGAGGAAAAGGTATGAAGACAAGACCAGACAAGGCTGGCTATGAATGCTTAGCTTGGAACAGGCTAGGGTGACTCCACCACGCCACTCCTTATTACCTCTTCCTATACCAGGGTGAAGATCCAGTCCAAACACCATGCCATCATACAAGACAAGATACCATCTGCTCAAGACTGCAGACCCAGCAACTTGAGTGGGAATCCAAAGAGCATACTCTGGGCACCAGAACACTGAGGGCCATCCCCTTCACTCACATATACTCTACAGTGACAATGGCTTTCCTCATACAAGTCAGAGACCACAGAATGGCATCTGATGGTTCAATCTACCTCCTCCTTGGCACACTCATATGCTTGGGCTCTGAGGTTAAATCTAGTGACAACAGGCACAAACCTGTGGGTCTATCTCTGAGGGTGTTTCCAGAAAAGGTTTAAATGAGGAAGACCCATCTTGGATGTAGACGGCATCATCCCATGGACCAGAGCTTTCCCTCCTACCTCCCCCATCTCTATGAATCCTGTAAGAATGAGAAACCCCTCCATTCTTAGGATGGAAGGCTATGTCTCCTTCTTCCTAGGACCCTACCATGGTCTACATGGTGGCTCTGCTGCTTCAAAGCCTCATTGTGACTGAGAGCCTGGAGCTCTTCTAATAAAGCTCAGTGGAGAGATTCATTCATCCATTCATTCAACACCTCAGCTTCCTTTCTACAAAGCTGTCAACATCTATTATCTGCACTTATACCTTAGGTATCTGCCATGTCTCATGACAGACTGCACCCTCAAACTATGAACTGAGACAGAACCTTCCTTAAGTCACTTCTCATCAGGGCAAGTTCAGGGACCCCAGAATGAAGGACAGCAAAGAAATAGAGACTGCAGAAACAGTGGCCACAGCCAGGCAAGCATGCAGTCCATGCCTGAGCACATCTAGTTTCAGCCTAGGGCTGCTGAGTGTCACACAGGCCAGAATGCAGGGGCTGACCTGCCAGAACTACAGTGCTACTGGAGGTGGGGATCCCAACAGAGTCACTGGGAGTAACTCGATGGCTACTGCCACTCCAGCCTTCCCATCTGTCTATACATGCTATGAGGCAACCACTCACCTTAAGGCCTGGACAAGGTTGAGATCAGCAAACTCATGAAGCTCAACAAAAGCCTGAAGAACTTTGATATTAAAATCATCCCTAGAACAGAAACAAAGCAAGCACATTCCATCTGAGTTATCTGGAGAGAAGGTATCTATATCCACAGCAGGCCTTTCAAGTGATGGTAGCTGACAACAAGCAGCCGTGCTCTTTATTGTAAATGTGGTTTAGAATTTTTATTTGTTTTTTTTCTTTGAGGCAGAGTCTTACTTAGTTGCAGAAAGCCTGGAACTCAGAATCCTCCTGACTCCACCTCCCAAGTGCTATGCTTCAGACATGTGCCCATGCCCAGCAATCTTCAGACTTAATGCAAAGGAGACTCTAGAGGCTCTCTGGAAAGTACATCCTAATGGATAGGAGCCAGGAAGACACCCACCATAAACCCTCAACTCATCTTCAGGCCAGCTCCAAGCACTGAATGGCAAATAAGGCCTGGGCCCTGTACACATTCTGGAACCTTCCAAATGGCCCCAAGCAAGGTCTTACAATGGTCTGTTTCATAGAGGGGTTTTACGTGTGAGAAAGAGGGAAGCAACATTTTCAGGCCACAAGCCATAGAAGCACTAGACCAAGGAAATTTTTGTGGGGGGGGGCAACAATACATCATATTAAAGATTTTTGTTTTGCTTTGGTTTTGGAGGGGGGGTAGGATGAGGAACTCACTATATAACCCAGGAACTATATAACAGGGAACTCATTAAAGTCCTGCTTCAGCCTGCCTCGTGAGTGCTAGGAATACTGGCATGAACCATAAGCCCAATCATTGGTTTTAAATGTAAAACAAGACAATAAAACAAGAGGCAAGTTTTTAATCTAAATACAGTAAAAAAAAAAAATGATGTATCAGTGTTTCACTGAATTTTAGCTCAAATTCTGCAACAGGCCTGCTCATCATGTGCTCTGAGGACACCCTTAGAGCACAATACCAGGGCCCATCTGCCCTACCAGAGGGCTAGCACCCACCATGGACTGCATCAAAGTAATATACCTATAACCTCACAGAACACACCTGGGATTTGCCATCCTTGGGGAATTGACTAGGCCTGGTCTGAAGACCAAATCTGTACCACACAAGCACTAGACACATTGTGAGCAGTTGCTATAGCTTAGTGATGTCTGCCCACAGGACACCTTCTCTCACGTGGAAGTTTCAAGTTGAAAGATGGGGTATTGTTGTCCTAGGGCCCTAAGAAACCATCAGTTCCGAAGCCTGTGTCCCCAGAAGAGGGCATGATGAGACTTCTTCCCAGGAGGTAATGAAAGGCCTATCCTGGCAAACAGGAGAGGCTGGCCTGAGTCTCTGGTCATGCAACATCACATTTGTCAGATGATCCACTAAACTGGCAAAGCAGCTCAGCATCAGGCACACTTGGGCCAAGTGTGTGTCCACACATGTACACTCCTCTGATGCTCAGGGTGGAAAGCACAGCACTGGCAGCTAGGTTAGGGCCACAGCTAAGAACAAGGCCTGGGACGGCATCAGCTGCCAGAACCTCAGGGAGTGGTGGGCCCCAGGGCAGGGTTAAGGGCAGACTCCTATTCTCTACAGCATTGAGGGTTTGGGATTAGGGTTGCTCAATCTATAAGACTTCTTTATTTATGATCAGTGTGTCCTTATCAGATGTCAAGTAAGATTTTCAAATGTTCCTCCTCTTCGAGGGCAGGGGCTGCTTCTCCTTCCTTTTTTAATATTTGTTTGTTTATTTAATTTTGGTTTTCCAAGACAGTTTCTCTGTACAGCTCTGGCTGTCCTAGAACTCCCTCTGTGGACCAAGCTGGCCTCAATCTGCCTGCCTCCACTCCTAAGAGTTGAGATTAAAGGCGTGCGCCAGCACCACCCAGCTTTTTCCTTCTGCTTTCCCCACCCCTCTTTCTTGAGAATATTGTCTGAAGCAAAACATAATAATTCGGAGCTGGTGAATTGACTCAGGAAGTAAAGGCGGTTGATTCAAAGTGTGACAACCTGAGCTTGATTCCAGAATTCATGTGGTGGAAACAGAGAACCAACTCACAGGTTAGCATGCTATCACCCCCACATGTGTGCACATACAAATAAATGTGTAAAATGTTTAAGTTTTTGTAATGTCCAATTTGCTTCATTTTCTTTAACTGCTTGGGCTTTGGACACCAGACCTAAGAAACCCTTGCAATAAGAGGATCCCGGCGATTTGCATGGCTCTAAGCTTTTAATGGCTTCACATTTGTGTCTTGAACACATATTAACCTCTGTGTACAGTGAGGAGCCTGATGTTGCCTCTCATAGATATCATCTGATATCCACTACTGGGGTCATTCTTTCCCCCACTCAAGTGTCTTGCAATATATATTAATCATTTGATAGTAATTCCAGACCATCAAGGTTCAGTTCACCCCTATGTTTTCTCTTAAGTTCGCAATAGTTTTAATTCTCTTATTTAGGTCTTTGGTCCACGTTAACCTTTGGCATGATAAGATCCCAAATGGCCCAGGTCTCCTAAAGCCTTATCCTCATGAGGCAGTGCTGAGCCAGCACCTCTGTCCTTATAGTCTGCAGCTCAAGAGCTGTGAGAACACTCTGAGCTTACCTCTCACCCAGGTAATCTCCAATGACGGTCTTGTTCAGGCCCTCTCCTTTGTAGAGAAACTGGGCAACATCCTCTGGGGAGCTCTGCAGCAGGTCATTCTCAATTAAGAACTGAATGCCCTGAGGAACAAGTGAAACAGAATATGCTGGTCACAATCCATTTCAAAGCTGGGAACCTGCTTTGTGCCAGAACCTTGCAGGTCTGGACATAGTGAAAATGTCAGTTCCATGGAGCAGTTTAAAAACCATCAGATTTATAAAGCTAAGGGAAACCACGTCTTCCCTGCCTCACAGGACTTCACTGTGGTTGAGAGATGTTGCCATGGGGCAACCCAATAACCAACCACCAATCCCCTTTACAATTGTGTATTTATGTTTTATGTGTTTGCCTGCATGTATGTCTGTGTACTACATGATTGCCTAGCACCTGTAGAGACCAGAAGAGGGCATTGGATGCCCTGGGACTGGAGTTACAGAAGGTTGTGAGCTACTATGTGGGTGCTGGGAATCAAACCTAGTCCTCTGAGGGAGCAGCTGAATCATCTCTCCAGCTTCCCTGCCCCACCATTTAAAAACATAAATATTTTTAACTCATTAAAAATTTAAATTATGTGTGTGAACCCATGCAGGGGCCACAGAGGACAAGCTGCCATCAGTTGGTTCTTTCCTACCATGGGATTCTGGAGATGGAACTCAGGTCTTCAGGTGTGGTGGTGTGTTTACCTGATGAGCCAGTTCTAATTCATTATGATCATGTGTGTCATGTGTGAGTGACATGTGTGGAGGTCAGAGGATAACTGTCAGGAATCTGTTTTCTCCTTACCGCTGTAAAATGGGGATTGAACTCAGAGTATCAGACTTGAGTAGCAAGTGCTTTTATCTGATCTTGCCACCCTGCCCCAACCAACCCTTTTAATTCTACCACCTTACCCCCAAATAATTGCTTTATAGGCTCTCCTTACATATAAATGACTTGTCACACAATTCTGAGCAAGCAGCCATAAATGGAATCCTGTAGGAATGCCATTCACTGCCCTTCTTCTTTCTTCCTGCGTTGAACACCACGTGACAGCCAGAAGCACAGCATCTCTCATGCGAGGGAAGACTGGGGTAAGTACTTTGCTCCTGCCATTTGGGAACCACTTACTGCCATAGCAACTATATGATAAAACTCCACTGTGTTTCTTTGGGGGCTTGGGGGGGCACTGGATTTTCTGTTACCTGAGGCCAAAAGCATGTTAACTGGTACATTAGCACTGAGCTTACACAAGCTGAACACATGCCCACTTTAAGAACCTGCAAAGCTTAGCTGGCAGTGTCAGAGACAAGGTTGTCCCAGGCCCAAATCAGCTGCACTGCACCATCATGGGAACTTCCAGGACCCACCACAACAGCAAAACATTACCTTTTGCACAGCTTGAGAGCTGGTTTCAAGCTACCTTACACCAGGCTAGGAAGAACACAGGGAATTCTACTGCATGCCAAGAGGCATTTCTACAAATTCAGAGAGGCTTTTCCAGCTGAAACTCCCAGACCTAAGCCTGCTTTGGCTTCCTCATACACCCACAGTCCATCTGGCAGCCTTATTTAGCATTTCCAAAAACTTCAGGCAGCAACAGACAACCAGTGAGAGAAAAAGTAAAGATAGAAGATGGAAGATTGGAACTAGATGGAAAGAACAAGATGAACGAGAGGCTTTCTTAGATGGGGTTACAAAGCAAAAGACAACACAAAGGCTCATGTGTGTAAATTATGCAATTAGTGGGTACATGGTGCATAAATGTGGATGTACACACATAGGTGCTCATGCATGGAGGTCCTAAGTTGATATCATGTCTTCTTGATTGTGCTCTGTTTTTAATTGATTGAGGCAGGGGCTTCCACTAAACCTAGAGCTACCAATTCTAGGCAATCAATTTAGCTATGGCTTTCTTGTCTCTGCTCCCAAGCACAGGGACTACGCCTATTCAGGTTTTATGTGGGTTTGGGGGATCCAATCTTTGGTCTTTACGCTTGCACAGCAAGTGCTATATAGCCACTGAACCATCTCCCTAGCCCCAGGCATGTATATTTTCATTCTGCTTACGCACAGTTTAAAAAAAGCAAACCTAATTTTGGTAATAGTGTGGGATACCTGGGGAAATGGATTTGACAAACAGTGGACCCAGAAAGGTGGCCTACAATGTTCTGCAAGTACTTTTTGTTCTAGGTTGAGGGTTTTGTTTAATTTGTCAAGATACTTCAAGTCTTACATTTAAAATTTGTGGGCCATGTAACATGTCATTTAAGTCTGACAGCCCTAGTTAACTCTAGTGTTTCTGGTGGGAATGGGAAAGAGCATGTCCACCTCAGTGCTACTGTGATAGACAAGACAGACAGACAGACAGACAGACACAGACATACACACAGACACACAGACACACAGACACACACACACACACAGACACACACACACACACACACACACACACACACACCTGTCCTGGAACATGGGATAAAAACCAACAGCACTGCTCATGTTGTATGACTGGTTCACCGACCATCCAGGTGAGGAGAATTAGGCATAAGTAGGGACAGTAAGCCAGCATCCAGCAGTACATGGATACCCTTGAGGTCTGGGAGGGAAGGGCAATCACAGGAGGTTAGGCAGAAATTTACTGCCTAATACCTCAGGGTCAAAGATCAATACTCCAGCCTTATTAGAATTCATAAGAGTAACTGAGTGTAAATTGATAAGTTTTGCTACCCTGAACTCTGTCAAGGGATGTGGGAGGGCATCTGGAAAAAAAAAAAAAAAAAAAAAAAAAAAAAAAACAGGATTCTAGAACAAGGGGCTTGCAGAATAGAGATTGAAGCAGTTCTGGTCCAGGCCGGGCCCTTGGAGACGACCTTGACTGTGACTATAATACCCCAGAGGTTGAGTTTGAGTTTGTGGCCATTCCCCTTCAAAGAGAATGGCCCTAGGCAGATGCAGACATTCCCAGGGCTCCTAAGAAGTTCTTGTACCTCTGTCACCAGGCTGTCCTTGTCCCATCCTGACCTGAGGCTCAAGTCTGTGGTCTCAAGGCTAAGTTCCAGACTCTGGAACCCAAGGCCTCTGCTAGGTCACAGAGAGCATGTGGAACACACTGTCTTAGTTGTTCAGGATCTGCCCTGAGTCTCCACCCTCCCAAAAAACCAGATCATTGTAAGAGCTATCAACCTGACAGTACTTAGAATGACCTAGGAGAAAAGCCATGTCTGTGAGGGACTTTCAGGAGATCCTTAACTGAATGTGGGTGATACCCCATCCACGGGCTGGATGCCTGAACTGAATAAAAAGAAGCTAAGTACCAGCATCCATGTCTCCTGACCATCAATGCAGTGTAAACAGCTGCCTCCCACTGCAGTCACCATGCCTTCAAGCCACCATGTACTGTGACCTGTGAGCAGATACAAACGCTCCCTTCCTAAGGTCGCCATTGTCAGGGATTTTGTCACAGCAGTGAGACAACTGATCAATACAACTGATTTTACAGAGTATAAACCACTGAGGGTGTGAGAAAGTTAAATAGAACAAGGTCATTTCTGGCTTATTAGTCATAGAAGGGACACAAGGAGGCCCCTAGCATGGAAGGGTTCCCTCTGCAAGAGACACAAGTCATGGGAAACAGGGAAGTCACTGGTGAGTTCAGGACAAAACCTGTGACGGTTAATCTTGCCAACCTGACTGGACTGAGACACATAGATCAGTGAAGGCCATCTTTGGGTATGCCTGCTAGAGATTCCAGATGCGATTAGGCTGGAGGAGAGCGGAAGACTTCAAGCTGATGATGCAGTAAGACACAGGGAATGAATACAATTCTGATCTGCAAAGTGAGATTGGTCTGGTGTATCTGAGTGTGACTCTGTGTCCCTCAAAACTCACACATTGTTGTAGGTGGAGGTAGAGACTGTGGGAGTAATTAGAATGAGACAAGCTCATGTGGGGCCCCTAGGGTGGGGATTATGACCTCCTGAAAAGAGAAACTTTAAGGTCAGGTTGCTCTACACCCTCATCACATGGAAGACTCATTAAGAAGGTGGTTATCTGCACTGAGAAAGGAGACCTCACTACAATACAACCATGTGAGGAACCATGATCTTATACCCACAGCTCCTACAACTGTGAGAAGTAAATGTCTGCTGTTTAAGTCCCCAGTCTGGAGGTTTTATCCATTTATCTATGCATGCTAGTTCTTATGCATCCCTGGCTGGCCTGTGTAGGCTTTGTAGTTCAAGACGATGCTGAGTTTCCATCTTCTTGCCCTCCTGTTTCTACCCTCCAGTGCTGGGGCTACAGCCATGCACCACCACCCAGCCTGGTTTTCAGACTGTGGCATTTTGTTGCCACAGCTCAGCTGACTAAGCTAAGTATCACAACTATATCTACAATCAAACGATTTCAGTATTTTTCTCCAGCAAAAAGCCATATGCAGACTAAATGAGCTTTTTGCTTTTATTGAACAACTTAATTATAAATAATTGAACAGAATTAGCAATTAGTATAAAAACCATATTTTGGGTCAAAAGGGACACAAAGTGAAACCTATTGAGCAATTCATCATAGCCTAACTAAACCCTGACTCCCCTGAATGTGGTGGGCAGATACCACAGGGCTGACTGGAGTATCTGGGTCTCGACACCCACAAACTGAGCTTAGGGGTCCCATTGATTGTACCTGCACTCAGAACCACACACTGTGAGAAAGGCCTTTAGGTCCAAGTAACAGTTCATCCAGAAGCACCTGCTTCATTCTGTTGTGACAAAATGAAACATCAATCCCATCTTTTCACCAGGTGATATGATCACCTCTGCTCCAAGGGAGTCAGCCACTAAAACCAGTCAATCATTTGCACACTGGAAGTCTAGAACTACTCTCTCACCTTTTTGGGGTCCATGTTGAATTTCTTTCTTCCCATGGCTATTTGCTTGTTCCTCTGAGTAGTTTTGCTATTGGTTTAAAAAAAAAAATTGTTAGTGAGACCTTCCATAGAGTATAGCAGAATCACACCCCCCTGCTCCGTTTCCATCCCAGGTCAACCTGAGACACATAAAACAAGGGTGTCTAGCAGAGCCCACTACCCTCCACAGCCAAGGCTGCTGCAGTGGCTTCTTGTCATATACAATAATACTTCTTCAGAAAGGAGAAAGGTAAAAATTAAAATACAGTTCCTCATGATTCAGAAAGGTTAATTCAGAGTCCCAAGCCTACAAAGTTGGTGAGGACAAAGGAGTCAGAGAGGAGGGACAGATAATTCCAAAGTCTCCGACTTCCCAGCCCAGCCCTTGCTTCTGTTGGTGAGCTCAGCTAGAAGGTGCCAAGAAGAAAGAGGGTAAGTAACTTGAAAGTACAGGCATGAACACTTTACCTCTCCTCCACTGAAGTTAAATTATCAATCTCTGTCATCACTTCTGCAATTTCATATTTCAGCCTCTGTCAAAAAAGAAGAATTGTATCATGGGGTATCTTACCTTTCCTGTACTCAGAGGTTTAGAGACAGCTTGTTCTTCCAGACACAAGTTTTCCCAAGGGCTCACGTGAGCATCACAAAGCCAAAACCCAACATCAACATCAGTAAGGAGACTCAATGTCAGAGGCAGCATAGCAGAGGAAACGCACACACACAGCCCACTCCTCATGAGATACATCACAGGAGAGGCCACTAGGGAGGCTCTGAGTACTTGTGTGAAAAATCAAGAAGGAAGTAAAAAATATAAAAGCATGTAAAGGCAAACAGTGAATCCTTATCCCACTCCACTGTAGTCACTACATACAACTGGAGGCACAGGTAGCCTGTATTCTCAGGGGAAGCTAAAACCCAGATGTGTTAGGTGACATCAGGTTTGCTGAGCAATAGTCTCATGACTGTCACTTCATAAGGGATGAACCCCCCTGGAGCTACAGAAATGACTTGAAGGGACATGCATTCTTTCAGAGACCCTAAATTTAATTCCCAGCATATATATCTGGTGGCTTACAAGTCCCCAGGGTTCCCACCTCTCTGGCCTCTGTGGCCTCATATACATATACCCACACACATACACATAATTTAATGATAAAAATGGAGAGAGAGAGTGGGGAGGGAGAGAGAGAGAGAGAGAGAGAGAGAGAGAGAGAGAGAGAGAGAGAGAGAGAGAGTTGAAGCTCCAAGGACAAGGCTCAATTCAGACATCAGAACATCAGAAGCAGAAAGGATAAGACCCGTTTAATCCCTACTGGTTGGCTTCCCCTCAGTAGCTTCCCAGCCTCAGACAGCATCCTTGGTGACAGGATGAAGTGGCCAGTGTTCAGGGACGTGTCCATATTATTGAGCAGTATGGTCACTACTGCTCACACAATATCCATTCTTAATTCTTTACACAAAGAACCTCTCTGGGTTGCAGAATTTTCCAAGAATGCAGGCTAACCTTGAGCCAAAGCTGTCACCAATTACCTCTCAAGTACAAAGACATTTTACTCAGAACCCTATTATGTGTGTGCCAATAAGTTCAGACTGAAACAAGTTCCTAGAAAGGAGTCATTGTCTAGGACAAGGCCTGCTCTACAGTGAGTGCCCTATTAGGTGACATTTACTTTGGCAATGACAATGACTAGGAAGCTTCTCAAAAGAGGGACACACGACTGACTTTCCTAAGGACCTGGGAGACTGTGGCTTCACTTGTTTCCTCTCCTGTGGGACACCCCTCACTCAGCCCTGGCCTCTGAGTCAAGTACACAAATGTGGGGAGGCAGTGTTTATCCATGTGTTTTATTCATCTTTGCCTAAATTTGTCACTCTGCTCTTGCTACTAAGTAGGCACCTTAGTATACAGCTAGAATCCAATATGTGCTTGTCTGTTCACTCAAAGGATACTGGGCTGCCATAAATGTGGCAGGCACCTATCTGAGTGCTTGAGATAACGTGCACAGAAAGGGCAGCGTGTACCAGGCTGTTGCCAGCGTTACTGCAACACTTGTAACTTTGGGGCCACAAGTCAACTCCTGGGAATGCTGTTCCCACCATCATGGTCCCTGCTGCACAGCTTGTGCTGTGAGTCTTTGCCTCCTCTGCCTGGAAAACTCCTATCTCCTGTCCCCATGGCTGTCACAGTTTTCACATTTTCTTGAAGCTACCCTATTCAGTATTCCACACAAATTCAAGTTAAGACAGTTTGTTGTTTTACCTCAATGTCATCAATAAGTTCCTTTTTTCTTCGACGAATGTCCAAAAGTTCTTCTCGCTCTTCTAATGACAGGTCTTCAGGCACTGAAAAGAAGAAAGGAAGGAAGGCAGGTCAACGACTTTGGGGGAAACTGTTGAGGCTGCTGAGACTGGAGACTGGACGTGGGAAGCTTCCCTAAAGGAAAACAGAAGCTAACGAACACCAACCACATCTGCGCATACCTCACCCCACTAAAACCGTGATTAGCCTGCCCAGAGTCTTCCTACCCACAGAGCTCTGATGAGAGGTTAGTATGGTGGGGTACTTCTCTGTGTCCCCTTGCACCGCTACAGATACCAGCCAACCAGCACCCCTGGTTGAGGCCTTCCTGCTGTACTCAGCTCTCCTCTGTTTCTTAGCCTTCCACTCTCAAAGTGCTACCTCTATAATACATAAAACATGCACTGAACCACACGCACCAAGCTAAGAAAGGTCAACGTGGTTACACTTTGGGGGAGTGGGAAATGCAGTGGGAAAGCAGTGTGATGCTGGCCTCCCACTCAAGCCCCACCACAAGCCTTATTGAACTATGGACTTTATTATGCATATCTAACTCAAAGTGTTTAAAAATGCATGTCAATCTCACTAGATTAGCTGAGGGTGGGGTGGGGACAGGACTTAAGGAGCACAAATGGGCACAGACACTTTGGGAAACACTTGAGTACATCAGACAGCATCAAAGATGCACATGGCATGCCTAGCAACTTTAAGTATATACAGTAGGAAAATCTCAAGCAGTGCAGCAATAAGTACAATAATGTTGAAGAAGCACATTTTATAGACAAAAATCAAAGAAGTTAAGTGCCCATCCACAGTAGGATGGGTGAATGTGCTAGAATCTTACACAGACATGAGAGTGGGAAAACTACAAGCAACAAATGGGTCATTTCAGGACATCTGTGTAGACATTAGATACATTTTCTTATGGATCATAAAAGCAAACAGTTAAATAATATATTGTTTAGGCATTGTCTTAGTCGTGTTCCTGTTGCTGTGATAAAATATCCTGACAAAAGCTCATTTGGCTCACAATTCCAATCCACTGCTGTAGGAATGCCATGAGACTTTGAACATACATCTGTAGTCAAGAGCAGAGACCAGTGAGTGTGTGAACCACTAGTGTTCAGCTTGCGCTCTCCATTCACTAAGACTCTGCCCATAAAGTGGTGCTGCCCACATTCAGGTCTTTCCTACCTCCACCTAATAAAGAAAATCCACAAGCCAAGCTAATCTAGATAATTTGTCATTGAGAATTCTTTCCCAGGTGATTCTAGATTATGTCAAATCAACAATTAACTAATCATCATGGGGCTGGAGAGATGGCTCAGCAGTTAAGAGCACTGGCTGCTCTTCCAGAGGACTCCAGTTCAATTCCCAGGACCCATATGGCAGTTCACAGCTGTCTGTAACTCCAGTTCCAGGAAATCCAACACCTTTACACGACATACATGCATGGAAAACACCAATTCACATAAAATAAAAATAACTTTAAAAAATTAAAAAAAAACTATCACAGGCATATAAATACATTTTATTCATTAGGACAATAAATTCAGAACTTATAATAGCATGCCCTCTAGGGAGGGAAGAAAGAGCATGAAGGTGGGAAGCAGAGAATATGTCATATTACTTACTAATTTCTGTCTTCCTCTACTAGCTTTAAACTGAAACTGAATGACACCTTAGCAATGTTCTTAGGCAATCTTCTATGTCAAGATATTATGAAATAAAGAGTTAACTAGACAGGGATATAAAATAACTGAGCCTCTCAAAACATCATGGACAGTCATTATTATCTCTGTTATAACTGAGGCCAAGAGGGATTAAATGGTTTTCCCTTGAGAAGAGGCACTGAAGATATAATGGGGCTGGAAAGATGGCACAGCAGTTAATAGCATTTGCTGTTCCATCAAGAGGCTCAGAGCTTGATGCCAGTGTCCTCATTAGGCAGATCACAAATGTCCATGACTGAATCCAGGGCCAGATGTCCCTTCTGGAATCACTGGGCAGATGAACACACACACAATTAAACAAATGTATCTTCTTAAAAGAAATACCCTGCAATAACATATAACTGGTAAACAACATGAACACACACATCCAAGATGCTCAACACATGCCAAATATCAAGCATGACAAACTCAGATTTACAAGTTGTGCAGCATGCACTGGGCAAGACTAGGAGCTCTACAAGACCCCTGGAACCAGTGTCTTCCTTCTGCCTTGCAAAGTGCCAGCTTCATCATGAAACTGGCTTCTATCCTGCTAGAGCTAAGGCTAAGCCCAGGGCTCCTCAAGCTTCCTCCTAGAAGGTCCTTTAGAACATCTCCTTAATTCCCATTGGCTCAACCTGTCTCCAGTCTCAGTTTACACTAATCAGCAAAAGTAAAAGATGTATCCAACACACACAGCATTCAAAGACAAGACATAAAAGGAGTCAAAAATTTATACTGCAGAAAACCAGCAATGCCCAACACCCAGAAAGATGAAGCATAAGCAAGTACACACTTTTTGTCTCTTCAAAGGTATCACTCTTACCACAAACATCTACTCTAATGAAAAGACTATTTCCTGAAGCAGCCAGCCTCCAGAGTGCTATCAGCCTGATATCAGAACAGTAAAGGTACTCCCGTCTGTCAACCACACAAATCAGCCTCCTAAAAGCAACCCCTAAGTAACCGTTTCTTCTGCCGATTTCTCCAACATACATGTACAAACAAGAGTCTGGAAAGAGCTGTAGACTTCAATCTTCTGCAAGACGGGTTTTCTTTCTTTCTTTTTAAGATGTATTTATTATGTGTACAACATTCTGCCTCTATGTATTCTTGCATGCCAGAAGAGGGCACCAAATCTCACTATAGATGGTTGTGAGCCATTATGTGGTTGCTGGGAATTGAACTCAAGGCCTCTAGAAGAGCAGCCAGTACTCTTAACTTTTGAGCTGTCTCTCCAACCCTCAAGACAGTTTTTTTCTAAGAAATTCTACCAACAGTCTTCCTCCTCCCACCCTGGGGGCTAAAGGGCCACCAAGAGCGAATAAAGACGAATAGAAATACCAGGGTGATTTCATTCTAAAGATGCCAATGCTTTTGCTTTTCCAACTGGAAACAGTCCATGGACTGCCTGAGTTTTTCTCTTCCTACAATACCTGTCTTTATCCTTTAAAGGCAATAAGGATCTAAACGATGAAGTGCTGCTCGTTCGTGTTACCAGGAATTGCAACCAAGAAAGTTTGAGATCATGTCAAAGTACACAACTTATTCATGTCAACAGGTATATTACGTGAACAAAAAAATGTTTTCCTGACACTGGCTCTCCAGGGTGAATAGTTCTGAGAGTCTACAGCTCTGACCTGTATTTCTCACATTTTGTTTTGAATGGGGTGGATGGTGGTAACATTTGGATTAAGCTATTTAAGATGTGGGAATTTGGGCTATAGTTTTTTTGTTGTTCATTTTATTTCAGCTCTGAATTTGCTATATCCAGGGTCTCATTCCTGGTCAGGTTTGTCTCTATTCATTGTTCTGAATTCCTGTTCCTAAAAATGCCTTTGAAGACTCCCATCCGTGTTTCATTCTCTTGCCTCAGCTCCCTCTCTCATTTTTCCCCCCTTTCTCTACTAATATTACTATTTCTGAGTGTTGTAAATGCTGGTTTTTATGCACTTGATTAAGCCTTTAACACTTGAGGTGGTATTTCCTGTAGAAATTCTTATAATTTTCATCCTCAAATCCTTAAATCCTCAAATGGATTTAAACTTCTCTCAGCATGAATCATTAAAATTTTTGTGCTTGTAAAAAAAAAAAAGTAACAAAGGCAATTAACTACAATAACTAGTCTGGAAGTAAAATTCCTGACACATGTTGGCTCTGACCACATGGAAACAGGCCTGAGTTCTTCATTTGCAGAATGAGGTGTTGTACAGAGTTGGTGACTTCTAAGAAAGTGACGGCACTGACAGTTTAAGTCTATGATAGCTACAGCACCAGGTATAGTTGCAAACGTTTGGTCCCACTTCTGGACAGAAAATCTAAATGTTTTCACAAGGGAAAACAGGAAGGAAGGCAGGAAATCCTGTGTTTCTGCTGCTGGCACAGCTTCAGAGAAAATTCAGGACAAGTTCATGTCCTGGACCAGTCCTTGCCTTTCTCAGGTACCTGCCTCCCTCAAACGAAGATTTGCAGAAATCAAGCACCTTATGGTTCATGAAGTCTGCTGCCAGCTATGATGGGTAACTAAAATTGGACTTAAATTTTTGTTCAAGCAGACAAGATTTCAAACCTTGTAAAATATCTTTCAGTAAAGAAGGTTAACAAGCCACTTTTCAGACAATAAGATTTCAAAATAGTTCATCTTTAGCAGATCTGCAGGTGGGAGGGCGAGGGGTATCAAATGAAAATCTATACAAAACAATGTCAAGTGCGGAAAGGGCCCTGATGCGAATCTCTTGAAAAGATTTACTGCTGTTGTTGAAAACAAAAGCAAAAGGATTGCTGGTTTAGCAATTACATAAAAGTAAACACACAGGACTGGGAAGAAGAAATAAAAGCGTATCGTTATAAAATTCTTACCTAGTGATGGTGCTCACCTATAAACTCAGCATTCAGAAGGCTGTGTCAAGAGAACCAGCTTAAGTTCAAGGCCAGCTAGAGCTACAGAGTGAGACCTTGCCTCAAAAACAAAACACAATGGCAACAAAAACGGAAGAAAAAATATTATTTTCCTGTGTGAGAAATGGTATATGTTTGGTGGGAGACTATGATAAGTTGAAAGTACATATTATAGGGCTGGACATATGGCTCAGGGGATAAGAGCACTGGCAGAGGACCTAGGTTCAATTCCCAGAGTCTACTTGGCAGCTCACATCCATCTGTAATTCCAGAGGATCCGACACCCTCTTCTGGTCTTTGCAGGCACCAAGCACGAACACAGTGGACAGACATAAATAAGGCAAAAGCCCATACACTAAACAGAACTACCATAAAAAACAGAGCATAGTACAGTGGTTGGGAAGATGGCTGAGCAGGTAAGAGCACTTGCTACA